GTGACGTCACAAGTTTTCTCACGCGTGACGTATCCAGTTGTCTGACGAGACTATCTCTGCAGTGAGCGACTACAATCACCGCACTACCACGGATATGTGGCTGTACCGTGGACACACGGGTAATTTGTACAATGTACAACGAGGGAGAGATGTCTGGGGAACCGTTCTTCCCGCTCTACGGACAAAACGACAGGTTATATATTATTATACATTATACATTATACATTGTTATATATTGTACTGTTTTACCTTGACTTTATATTTCTGCAACTTTGCAATTCATAGGATTTTAACCAATACAATGGTGGGGCCTTCTAAACTTCATATGTTCTGAAAATTGAATGACCGTTTTACTGTACGCGCAACTTCTTAAAAACCCTCATCTGAATCCATCCTCAGTCGAGCTTAACACAATTAAAGGGACCCTGTCCTTTGCCAAGAACGACGAATTGCTGAAAGTGGGGTTCACGAACGTATTCCACCGTGAGCTGTACCCCGTGTTCTATTGTCCTACCCCGGGCGAGTGTGTGAAGATAACGGAACTCAAGGTTATCAGTGTTAACTCTCAGAATACTCACATGGGTCAGTTTAGTAATAATTTAATAATTAGTTATGATAATAAGTAATGATAATTAATACCTGGTTGTTAGTTAAACTGATATTAGGCCGTCCTTCAATCTTTGCTTTGTTTTGACGTAGCGATGTTTCATTGTTCATAGTCTCCCCAGATCAGGTGAACAATATACACGATTTATTGATCACGTGATCGAGTAAAAGTTGAGTTTGATCAAGATAACGATAATGCATAATATATTGCTATACAAGTACCGTAGTTAAATGGCTGCCACCCCAGGAGAGCCTAGAAAAAGGGTCAGTCGCCTCATGAGATGCCGAGATGGTATCTTCAAATGTTTACAACAGTCTCTGGTCAGCTCTCGCTATTATTGGAGGATACGATCGCGGACTTAGAATCGGATCCAGGTTTGTTTTCGAGCACCTTTATTTTGCTAATAATATCAATATTTAAGGTCACGTATTTCAATATGATAAACGTATCAAATTGTAAGCTTGAGGGCTACAATAAGTATTGATATTGATAAGTATCAAACAACAACCCCCACATTCCACAACCAAACCACTTCATTAATTAGGCCCTAATATTATGTAGTATTAATTGATTTATTTCAATATTTATTTATTTATTTAAATGATATAATACCTGGTATTTCAGTGTGTTGGGAAAAAACTCTTCAAACAGTGGTGTAATTATAAAGTACCTGACGGACAAGAATGCCAGTGTCCTCTGGCACAACATTCTCAAACTCAGGTGATTATTAACACAGTTAAGCTCAGCTCATAGATAACCACAAGTGCACTTTTAGTTTCTAAGTGAGGCGGATTGGAAAAAGTACTTTTTTGAGATCTTGCAAAGTGGGAGTTATCAGCTTATCCTAATATTTGGGAGCTACTACTTGACATTTTGTGCGCTGACGAAAATAAAGAAGATGGTCTACGTAGAAATAATATCTGTCGACAGGTTAAACTTAAGGGGGCAAACACCAAAACAGTGGTTTGTGCCGTTTAGACCAACTGACCTCATAGGCAGTTCAGTGACCTTCTAGCACATCGTTTCCGCACCCAAAAAAAATTATTTTGAGAATACCTATTTTTGTAATCGAGCATTTCCTGGTTAAACTTAAAGGTACAATGACAATCTTCGGAAAAAATAATTTTTTGGTTGAGACGCTATAAGTTAATAAGTTCTTGCGGTATCGGGTTGAAATTTTGCTCGCCGTTTATTCACATCTATTTCAAGGTGTGTGTAAAATCTTGATATCGTATCTAAAAAGGCTAGTGTGTTATGAATTTTTAAAGTCAAATAGCTAAAATTGTACTTTTCATGCTTATTTTAACAAAAAGTCAGTCAGCAGTCAGGGAAGATCGGATTGATTTGATGCTTGACATCAAATTTGAAATTGTTCTCTGAATTCTGGCGCAGTTTTTGATGCCCTCAAAAATGTTTTTACACATTTATTTTCAGATCTATTGGACCTCAAAGCCAAACAACAAATTTAAGCACATTTTTCGTTTTTAATATTTACTGATTTTTCTAAAATTTTGATAGGAATGTGCTAATGACTTTTTGAAGGGCGCAAAATACAAAATAACTGCAACTAGAAACTAGCACATTTATATGTAAGTTATTAGGGGGTGCACGATAAAAAATAAACTTGCTCGGATTGTCAAAATTTTTGTACCATTATTTTCTAGAGACTGTAAGAATTTTCACAGTACCAAATTTGTTATACCTTTTTGGAATGATCAGTGAGTTTCGCCTAGGTGCCATATTTGATGGTGCGCGGCTTTTGGAGCAAAATTAGGTGTAAAAGTCGCGTAATTTGACGAAATTCGTTGATTTTTGTCGTATTATTCTATCATATCTTCGGTTCCTGAACATGAATCATGCTGAAAATTTGTCAGAACCTTCCAATCATACTTAACTACCGAACCTAATTTAGTTGGGAGATATTGGCCTTGATTAAGAGGTCTAAAAATGACAAAATAGGTATAAATTCGTTGATAACTCAAATTCTGACCATCGAAATTGCTCAAACTAATTTAGGTTCAGTAGAACATAAGTGTTTACGTACGCTGACCAAATTTCAACAAAATTGTTATATGGGAAGTATTATAACTTTTTGATTGTTTCCGAAATAATGTGCTGGCCGAAATACGAGCTCTTCTCAAACACAAGGATATATCTTGTGAACTTGGCTAGTATATATGAAACATTTGATATGGAGTTGTAGAGGGAGTTATGTGCCTCGCCGGGCTAAAGTAGTGGATGACCTTGCTGTACGGCAAGTTAAACAAGGATCTGAAACTACTAGGTTCCGTACAGACTCAACTCTGCACCCGTGTCAATATGTTCATTATATGCAAGCCTCTTGATTTATAATCACCGAGTCTAGTAATTGTTTAAGAGAGTTCTCTGGCAGTTACGAAACTCGAGAGACTGTGGGATACTGAAGGGAAAGGAAGCAGTTCTAACGAGCTCTTCTCAAACACAAGGATATATCTTGTGAACTTGGCTAGTATATATGAAACATTTGATATGGAGTTGTAGAGGGAGTTATGTGCCTCGCCGGGCTAAAGTAGTGGATGACCTTGCTGTACGGCAAGTTAAACAAGAATCTGAAACTACTAGGTTCCGTACAGACTCAACTCTGCACCCGTGTCAATATGTTCATTATATGCAAGCCTCTTGATTTATAAGTGTTTACGTACGCTGACCAAATTTCAACAAAATTGTTATATGGGAAGTATTATAACTTTTTGATTGTTTCCGAAATAATGTGCTGGCCGAAATACGAGCTAAAAAACCATTCAATGGTCAGCGCGCGCGTCTTACTGTCGATGGCGCACTGCCTAAAGTTATGAACAACAAAACACCCTAAAATGTTTCCCTTTGAAGTTATGAGAGAAAATGTGATTTTTTAATCTGTTATCTGCAAAGCCAAAAAATGGATGTTATTGACAGATGATACTCGTCTAAATTTCTTCGAAGTAGCGTGCACCGCTTTCTTCTTGATGTTGACCATTGTTAATGATCCGGCCCGGCGCGCGCTACTTCGTAGCTCGTGCCATCGAGAAGAAAGCAGCGCGCGCTACTTCGAAGAAATTTAGACGAGTAACATCCGTAAATTCTCGATGGCAAGTGCTGCGAAGTAGCGCGCATCGGGCCAGACCATTAACAATGGTCAACGATCTTTACTTGTCGATGCGAACGATCTTGTCGATGCGAACGATTTTGTCGATGCGAAGCAAGAATGCTACTAGTTTGCGCGGCGCGTCGAAGCGGCGAAGTATTCCAAATATAGTATACATATCACGGGCCTGGGTGAGACTTAATTCCTGCGTGAAACCTAATTTCTCCGTTCGAACCAGTTACATTTTGGTGACAGGTAGGGTTTCCACAATAGGACTATAGTGCAAAGTTAAAAGTTAGCAGCAGTACTTGGCAGCAGTTTCTTTGCACTATAGTCCTCCTGTGTCTCCAGTTTTAGCGTATGCGCTTTCAATTGTTAAAGATTGGGTTAATTCGCGATGCAATGTCAATCCTTCATTGCATCTGCATCCTTCAGCTTCGCAGCTCGGCGCGGAGGCCCACTGTCCAGTAATGCATTTCGTTGTATCACGTCGTGACTCCGATTGTCGTTTCACTAAGTTAGCGTTTCTACGATACATGGTAGCCGGCCGCGCACTCGTGCGCGGCGGGCTATACAACGTATGACAAGCATTTCGCCAATTTAGTGAAGCAAAATGCAGAAGGTTGTGAGAAACATTATTTGATGCGCATCGCGGCCCAGCTCAGCTAATAGTGTTAATTGACGATGTCAATTCATGGCAGCTCGGCGCGGCACAGTAGCGCATCTCGCCGATCTAGCTCACCGCTGCGCGCAGTGTTGTGACCGCTCTTCGTCGTATTTTACACATATTTGGACGTTGGCAATTTATTCCATCGATAATTTTAAAGTTTTAACATTTTTATATTAAATTCTTTTTTAATTTAGTTCTAAAACGATTCAGCTTGCTTTCTGTGAAAATTTAATGTACTTTCGTAAAATAATTTTGATGTGGCAGCGATTTGAAAAGGAAATCAGTTAAAAATAATACAAAAAAATCGGACATTTTTTGATATTAAAACATGAATAACTTGGGCTGTGTTGACAGTAGAAAAATTTATTAACCTCTATCCGACAGCTTTAAAATTTTTCTACGCGCCGCGCAAATCCACGCGCGCATTTTAGCGTGTCAAAATCGTTTAAAACTAGAATGAGTTGATGAAGGAGCATAATGCAGATCATACGTTGTACGTGTGGCTTGAACATTATGATTTCGCGCCATTTCTTGTTTCTGCACTCGCTTTGAACTTTCATGGCTTTAACAGCAGTTATCGACTGACGACTTTGCTGTATTACATAGTGTACTTAGTACATAATTGATCAACGATAATAGGAGGAACCCCTGCAAGCTTTAAAGGGCTCGTGTTACTTTAACATCACTTTTGAATTTCACGAAAGCAGATAAAAGGTAGGTTTTCGTTGAATCAAAGTAAGCTTATATCAATTAGAACGAGTATAATTGTGTTACTTTAATACATCGCTTGGTACTGTATTTTATAGTTAACTAACGACATTCTCGCTTTAGGTTATTTTATATAAAACACTTTTATCATTGTTGATTGTGACTTGTCCAATCATTGCACTAGTTTATTACAAAGATTATCAAAATCTTGCGGTAAAATTATTATACAAGCACCCATAAATGACAAAAGTCATTTAATTTCAACATTCCTCATTGCTTTTGTGATTTCCTGCAGCTCTTACTACTGGGCAGCTCTTACTACTGGGCAGGTCGCCCCGTGGTGGTTCATGGAGGCGTCTCAAAAAAAACTGACTGAACTATAACATATAATCTAAATATGATAAGTGCTTATTAACCTCTCTGCTTTAATTCAAACCTTTTATAGAATCTACATATGAACTTACAATGTTTTGCAGTTTTAGTGACGTTGCAGAAACTCCGGAATACTGTGGATTGGGAGGAGGAGAAAGTGATAATTCTGTTATATGGCCTGTTTCTAGGACACGATAAACTTCCTAATAAGGTATTTTTTTTCAGGATACGATAAACTTCTTAATAAGGTATGATCTGTAGCTAGGACACGATTAACTTCCTAATACAGTATGTGTAGATGATAACCTCCCTTCCTCTTCTAGATCAGATGGCTAAGTTACGGTGCAAAGACGGGTAGCTTGAGACTACCCGTTGTTACCTATAATCTAACTCACTCTTTCCACATACGCGGCTAACCTGTTCCCGATCAATATTCAGGTAGTGGAGAACTTAGAGTTAGATTATTTATTCCGCTTTTTGACTTTCCCCAGTCTTCATGCTAGATTCCCGTTCATTTTAGAGCCTCATTTAATCAGTCGGCCTTACTAAAGAACCTCTCACCCTAATAAGAACACGTAACTTGAAGTCTGATCGACTACATAGCTTTCGCTACAGCACTAACACGTGCATTTACAGAGGAGCAAAAGTTTGCGGAGGCATCCTAGAACGGTACATATTTTAATATATCATGCACAGGTGCCATTCTGTTTGTTTGGTTCACAGCTATTTCCTACTCCTAGACTCCGTGTTCGGACTTTTGATTTCTGTACCAGTTTATCGTTAACTTAGAGTTAGATTATTTATTCCGCGTTTTGATTTTCCCCACTCTCCATGCTATTATTGCTAGATTCCCGTTCATTTTAGAGCCTCATTTAATCAGTCGGCCTTACTAAAGAACCTCTCACTCTAATAAGAACACGTACCGTAGAATGGGGGAACTTCGCCATGTTTTACAGCTATTTCATGTTATTTAGAAAATACTACACGAGTACTTGAAAAAGTTTATAGCTCATATGAACAGGATTGGTAAAGCAAATGTTTTCGTATGAACCACATCAGCCAGGCATAAATAGTCAGCTAGATTGGTGCCACTGAAATCAGGGCGAAGTTACCCTGCAATATGGGGTAACTTCGCCATTCTGAAACTATACCATATTCGGTGCTAAGCACCATACCACTCGAAACTCAATTATATTTCCTTGATATACCTGCCAATTTTACTTATCTAGCTCTAGCCTGCGTGTTACAATGGGCAATTTGGTCGCCGGGGTAACATCGCCATGCTGCGGGTAACATCGCCGGGATGAAGTAGAAATGTAGTCGAACTTCGCCAATGCACGTGCGTGACTTTGCCAGCCGCGCGCGAATTTCGCGCCAAACTTCGCCGAACAGATGGGATCAGAAGAGGGTAACTTCGCCACACACAAATTTGAAAACTTTATAATATCAGTTGTGTGCATCATGGCTAACTAAATTTGCCCTTAAATGAACAGGACATATGCTAATGATGTCACACAGAATTAATTAAGGATATAATTGTAAAATATGGGAAATATGCAAGCAGGAAATTTTAGCCACTTTATAGCAATATTTCATGTTGCCTGAGTTTAATTAACATAGTAAACGTTTATTTTTGAATAGGAATACCTTTATAACCATTTGTTCAACACAATACTATACAAAAACTCAATCTCCTAACAATTCAAAACAGTAAAATGATTATTTGAAAAATAGTGGCGAAGTTCCCCGACACGGCGATTTTACCCCAATCTACGGTAACTTGAAGTCTGATCGACTACATAGCTTTCGCTACAGCACTAACACGTGCATTTACAGAGGAGCAAAAGTTTGCGGAGGCATCCTAGAACGGTACATATTTTAACATATCATGCACGGGTGCCATTCTGTTTGTTTGGTTCACAGCTATTTCCTACTCCTAGACTCCGTGTTCGGACTTTTGATTTCTGTACCAGTTTATCGTTAACTTAGAGTTAGATTATTTATTCCGCTTTTTGATTTTCCCCACTCTCCATGCTATTATTGCTAGATTCCTGTTCATTTCAGAGCCTCATTTAATCAGTCGGCCTTACTAAAGAACCTCTCACCCTAATAAGAACACGTAACTTGAAGTCTGATCGACTACATAGCTTTCGCTACAGCACTAACACGTGCATTTACAGAGGAGCAAAAGTTTGCGGAGGCATCCTAGAACGGTACATATTTTAACATATCATGCACGGGTGCCATTCTGTTTGTTTGGTTCACAGCTATTTACTACTCCTAGACTTTTGATTTCTGTACCAGTTTATCGTTAACTTAGAGTTAGATTATTATTCCGCGTTTTGATTTTCCCCACTCTCCATGCTATTATTGCTAGATTCCTGTTCATTTCAGAGCCTCATTTAATCAGTCGGCCTTACTAAAGAACCTCTCACCCTAATAAGAACACGTAACTTGAAGTCTGATCAACTACATAGCTTTCGCTACAGCACTAACACGTGCATTTACAGAGGAGCAAAAGTTTGTGGAGGCATCCTAGAACGGTACATATTTTAATATATCATGCACGGGTGCCATTCTGTTTGTTTGGTTCACAGCTATTTACTACTCCTAGACTTTTGATTTCTGTACCAGTTTATCGTTAACTTAGAGTTAGATTATTATTCCGCGTTTTGATTTTCCCCACTCTCCATGCTATTATTGCTAGATTCCTGTTCATTTCAGAGCCTCATTTAATCAGTCGGCCTTACTAAAGAACCTCTCACCCTAATAAGAACACGTAACTTGAAGTCTGATCAACTACATAGCTTTCGCTACAGCACTAACACGTGCATTTACAGAGGAGCAAAAGTTTGCGGAGGCATCCTAGAACGGTACATATTTTAACATATCATGCACGGGTGCCATTCTGTTTGTTTGGTTCACAGCTATTTCCTACTCCTAGACTCCGTGTTCGGACTTTTGATTTCTGTACCAGTTTATCGTTAACTTAGAGTTAGATTATTTATTCCGCTTTTTGATTTTCCCCACTCTCCATGCTATTATTGCTAGATTCCTGTTCATTTCAGAGCCTCATTTAATCAGTCGGCCTTACTAAAGAACCTCTCACCCTAATAAGAACACGTAACTTGAAGTCTGATCGACTACATAGCTTTCGCTACAGCACTAACACGTGCATTTACAGAGGAGCAAAAGTTTGCGGAGGCATCCTAGAACGGTACATATTTTAACATATCATGCACGGGTGCCATTCTGTTTGTTTGGTTCACAGCTATTTACTACTCCTAGACTTTTGATTTCTGTACCAGTTTATCGTTAACTTAGAGTTAGATTATTATTCCGCGTTTTGATTTTCCCCACTCTCCATGCTATTATTGCTAGATTCCTGTTCATTTCAGAGCTCATTTAATCAGTCGGCCTTACTAAAGAACCTCTCACCCTAATAAGAACACGTAACTTGAAGTCTGATCGACTACATAGCTTTCGCTACAGCACTAACACGTGCATTTACAGAGGAGCAAAAGTTTGCGGAGGCATCCTAGAACGGTACATATTTTAACATATCATGCACGGGTGCCATTCTGTTTGTTTGGTTCACAGCTATTTACTACTCCTAGACTTTTGATTTCTGTACCAGTTTATCGTTAACTTAGAGTTAGATTATTATTCCGCGTTTTGATTTTCCCCACTCTCCATGCTATTATTGCTAGATTCCTGTTCATTTCAGAGCCTCATTTAATCAGTCGGCCTTACTAAAGAACCTCTCACCCTAATAAGAACACGTAACTTGAAGTCTGATCAACTACATAGCTTTCGCTACAGCACTAACACGTGCATTTACAGAGGAGCAAAAGTTTGTGGAGGCATCCTAGAACGGTACATATTTTAATATATCATGCACGGGTGCCATTCTGTTTGTTTGGTTCACAGCTATTTACTACTCCTAGACTTTTGATTTCTGTACCAGTTTATCGTTAACTTAGAGTTAGATTATTATTCCGCGTTTTGATTTTCCCCACTCTCCATGCTATTATTGCTAGATTCCTGTTCATTTCAGAGCCTCATTTAATCAGTCGGCCTTACTAAAGAACCTCTCACCCTAATAAGAACACGTAACTTGAAGTCTGATCAACTACATAGCTTTCGCTACAGCACTAACACGTGCATTTACAGAGGAGCAAAAGTTTGCGGAGGCATCCTAGAACGGTACATATTTTAACATATCATGCACGGGTGCCATTCTGTTTGTTTGGTTCACAGCTATTTCCTACTCCTAGACTCCGTGTTCGGACTTTTGATTTCTGTACCAGTTTATCGTTAACTTAGAGTTAGATTATTTATTCCGCTTTTTGATTTTCCCCACTCTCCATGCTATTATTGCTAGATTCCTGTTCATTTCAGAGCCTCATTTAATCAGTCGGCCTTACTAAAGAACCTCTCACCCTAATAAGAACACGTAACTTGAAGTCTGATCGACTACATAGCTTTCGCTACAGCACTAACACGTGCATTTACAGAGGAGCAAAAGTTTGCGGAGGCATCCTAGAACGGTACATATTTTAACATATCATGCACGGGTGCCATTCTGTTTGTTTGGTTCACAGCTATTTACTACTCCTAGACTTTTGATTTCTGTACCAGTTTATCGTTAACTTAGAGTTAGATTATTATTCCGCGTTTTGATTTTCCCCACTCTCCATGCTATTATTGCTAGATTCCTGTTCATTTCAGAGCCTCATTTAATCAGTCGGCCTTACTAAAGAACCTCTCACCCTAAATCTAATAAGAACACGTAACTTGAAGTCTGATCAACTACATAGCTTTCGCTACAGCACTAACACGTGCATTTACAGAGGAGCAAAAGTTTGTGGAGGCATCCTAGAACGGTACATATTTTAATATATCATGCACGGGTGCCATTCTGTTTGTTTGGTTCACAGCTATTTACTACTCCTAGACTTTTGATTTCTGTACCAGTTTATCGTTAACTTAGAGTTAGATTATTATTCCGCGTTTTGATTTTCCCCACTCTCCATGCTATTATTGCTAGATTCCTGTTCATTTCAGAGCCTCATTTAATCAGTCGGCCTTACTAAAGAACCTCTCACCCTAATAAGAACACGTAACTTGAAGTCTGATCGACTACATAGCTTTCGCTACAGCACTAACACGTGCATTTACAGAGGAGCAAAAGTTTGCGGAGGCATCCTAGAACGGTACATATTTTAACATATCATGCACGGGTGCCATTCTGTTTGTTTGGTTCACAGCTATTTACTACTCCTAGACTTTTGATTTCTGTACCAGTTTATCGTTAACTTAGAGTTAGATTATTATTCCGCGTTTTGATTTTCCCCACTCTCCATGCTATTATTGCTAGATTCCTGTTCATTTCAGAGCCTCATTTAATCAGTCGGCCTTACTAAAGAACCTCTCACCCTAATAAGAACACGTAACTTGAAGTCTGATCAACTACATAGCTTTCGCTACAGCACTAACACGTGCATTTACAGAGGAGCAAAAGTTTGTGGAGGCATCCTAGAACGGTACATATTTTAATATATCATGCACGGGTGCCATTCTGTTTGTTTGGTTCACAGCTATTTACTACTCCTAGACTTTTGATTTCTGTACCAGTTTATCGTTAACTTAGAGTTAGATTATTATTCCGCGTTTTGATTTTCCCCACTCTCCATGCTATTATTGCTAGATTCCTGTTCATTTCAGAGCCTCATTTAATCAGTCGGCCTTACTAAAGAACCTCTCACCCTAATAAGAACACGTAACTTGAAGTCTGATCAACTACATAGCTTTCGCTACAGCACTAACACGTGCATTTACAGAGGAGCAAAAGTTTGTGGAGGCATCCTAGAACGGTACATATTTTAATATATCATGCACGGGTGCCATTCTGTTTGTTTGGTTCACAGCTATTTACTACTCCTAGACTTTTGATTTCTGTACCAGTTTATCGTTAACTTAGAGTTAGATTATTATTCCGCGTTTTGATTTTCCCCACTCTCCATGCTATTATTGCTAGATTCCTGTTCATTTCAGAGCCTCATTTAATCAGTCGGCCTTACTAAAGAACCTCTCACCCTCTTAAGAACACGTAACTTTAAGTCTGATCAACTACATAGCTTTCGCATACCGTTTCGTATCACGTATTTATCATCTCTCCTTCTTCAGAGACTGGCTTTATTTCAACATACCGTATCGTATCACGTTTTTATCGTCTATCCTTCTTCAGAGACAGGCTTTCTTTCAGCATGGTTACCCAGAGACTTGATGGTATCAGGGTTCTCGATGTTCTGAGTAATGAATTTAGTTTTTCCCTTCATTCATTCTAAGTCCCACTGTGGCAGCAACCCTTTCTATCTCTTGCATCAGCGTCTCTGTCTCCTTTTCAGTATCTGCTATCAGAGCAATGTCATCCACAAAACCAGTGACCGATATCTTCTCCACCTTGACTCTCCTACTCCTATAAGGCTTTTAATGGTAAATCCTATTTCAGGGTGCTTGCTTAAGGCTTGTCTCATGCAATAGTCTAGGGCTATTATAATGAACAGGTACGGTATGGTGCTAACATCTGCAAGATCTTAAGGAGAGAGTGGCGTGACACACCCTCTGTAATCAATAAAATTTTGCGAAACTTTCATAAATACTAAGTTTGACCCAGATTTAAAGGTCGCTAGACTGAATGCAATATTTCAGTTAACAACTCTACCTCGATTCGATGCAGTGCACAGTGGGAAAGGTTGAAGTTGACGTTCAAGCAGTCACCCTGCCGAACAAGAAATCTTTCAGGCCAAGAGGCTAGGTGACTAGAAACTCAATCACTATATCCGTGAAACTTGTCGGGAGCACTGTTATGTGAGTTATTTTACCTTCTAAATTCCAATGAGCATGAAAATTACCCAGGTTCATGGAATGCACGAAAATGAACAAAAATTAATATTCTCCTAAAACTAAAAGTGCTCAGAACGGTTTAAAACTGGCCGGAAAGCGTTTAGATTGGTCCTAGGACCACTCAAACCAAGTTTGGGAATCACTGCATGTCTACAACCGATGTAACCAATGTTCCAAAATGTTCCAATTTTGTCCCAATAACTCGTTCACCAGCCTACCTCCGTTCACCAGCATGCGCTGTGACCGTCATGGTCACGGCGCAAGATGCGCGCATTTTAAAATGCCGGGAACACATTTTAATTGCCATTGTAGTGATGTACATTATAGTACATAGTGGACAGTGGAGTGTGTGGTCTGATACTTGATAGTAGACAGAGGTTACATTTGAAACATTCCGGTGCCTTCAACTGTTCTTTACTGTGCATGCACTGACTATTTGATTGCTTAAACGAATAGGCGAGCCTTCAAAAACATTAGTTTCAATGTTTTCATAGTTTTATGATGCAAATATAATTTTTCCATTTACATAACTGATAATACCCCCAATATCTTTTCAGTTGTGGAGGTCGGACCGAAACTGTAATCAGACACTAAACATTGACGAGGACCAATTACTCTACTCCTTCAATGATTAATAAAGATCGCTGATTGCTTTTACTAATGTATAATGTTAAAATGAAAGAGAAACTATCGAGACGAAAGAGAAAAAGGCACTCATTTATTTATAGTTTTATGTCTTAACAATGATATTCGAAAGCTAATTTTAAAAACTGGCTCTGAATCCTTGCTAAATGATTTGGGAAGGTGTAAGGGCTTAATATGCCTGTAGACATCATTTTCAGTGGGTTTTATGAAGTTTATGATTAGAGTATATTTTGGGACTGAAATAAGCGCAAGACCTTCGACGTTTCTATTCCTACTGTTTTTTTAATTTAGCAAATATACAAACAAATTTTATACTGTCGTAAAGATAAAATATTTAGTTATCGGATAGAGACTTGAAAATTAAGTATTACAATAACCAAGCTAAAATATTCAATGTTAAACTCAAAAATTTTCACGCGTCTATGAAGAAATATTTAGTTCTGCGCGTAGTTTTTTGGTCAAATCTACGGCAAATTTTCGCCAATTTTGTTCATAGTTTCAAAATGTTATTTAGTAGACAAATTACTTTCGGACTACATCCATATTGTTTATTTAAGTCCAAAAGAAACAACATTTATTTGACTTCAAAATTGTTCAATCTGAATACGAGCTAATTACGACGAAGGGAGGTCACAACACTGCGCGCAGGAGTGTAGCTGTCGCTGTGAGAAGCCTCATTGAGTGCGCGGCGCGGCACAGTATATAACGCATCGCGCTACAACTATAGTAGTGCAACGCGCTTATACAAAATATTGGGTAAGGGTTATTAGGGTCGGGATCAGATTAGAGGACTCAAATTTTTGACAATCATTCAAGGGCCGGCCAGCTAGAAAATTGGTTTAAAATTAAATTACGTGACAGTCGATTGTAAAATGATTTAGGGGTCGTTAACGATATTACGTAATTGATATTTTTTGTCATACGTTGTATGACCCGCCGCGCACGAGTGCGCGGCTTCCCCTGTATCGTAGAAACTCTACACTATAGTGAAGCGACAGTGGGGATCACCACGTGGTACAAATATTTTTTACGTAATTAATATTTTAACAATTTGTACCCCGTCCCCCCTGCTTTTACTAATTCGCTTGCCCAAACCATGCCTACAATAAAAACTTTTGCACGTCTCCGAAATGGACTATATATGAATTCAAAATTTATTGTGGGTTCAAAACAAAATTTTATTTTATTTAAAAAAATTTGTTTTATTTTAATTGAGTATCTAAATGGTCGCTAATCGTGAATGATCTCTATGGTGGCAGAGGAGGGTCATTTTAAAAATAAAATAAAAAACCATACTTACGTGGCCAAGGAGGGTCATTCGGCCGAGGAGGGTCATTTTTTAAAAATGGCCCTGCTCGGCCATGGCCGAGCAGGGCCAAACAATATGACGCAAAATGGCCCTCCTCGGCCATGGCCGAGGAGGGTCATTTAAAAAATAAAATAAAAAACCATACTCACGTGGCCGAGGAGGGTCATTCGGCCGAGGAGGGTCATTTTTAAAAAATGGCCCTGCTCGGCCATGGCCGAGCAGGGCCAAACAATATGACGCAAAAATGGCCCTCCTCGGCCATGGCCGAGGAGGGTCATTTTAAAAAATAAAATAAAAAACCATACTCACGTGGCCGAGGAGGGTCATTCGGCTGAGGTATAACACCTCAACCGTCGCCGGCGTTAGATTTGATCCTTCGGTTTCCTGTAAGTGCTCAGTGCATGCTGGTTACTTACCTGGGGACCTCAGGCTATCATGTTCATAAACATATTCATAGAGATTAGGCGGAATGACAGGCTGAGCGCGGCCCAGTAAGCTGGTTACAAGCCGTAACTATATAGCCATGGTTGTTCAAAGTAAAACGTAAGGGTGGTCATTTCACTTGATGGCCCTGCTGCAGCGCAGCAGGGTGGAATTGTTTGCATTGCGTATAATTGTTATCTTATAATTACATGTCACATTTCTTAATTACTATAGAGCCTAAATTTAGATAATTTAAAGGATATTTCTGTCTTTGGCGCAGTACAGGCCGTGAACACTGCAATCCGATTAAATAATGGAGAGATTCCAAAAAACCGTGCGTTCGTTATTTGTGATTGATTTCGTGCGTGAGCCTCCGTGAACATTAGTACCGCTCAAGCATAAATAAAAGTACTAAGCAGTACGCAGTTCTGCGTACAAATTTGTAGCACAAGTTTCATTCAATTTAACTACCCAATTAGTAATAATAATTGAATTATGTGACATGTAATTGTATTATATTTTATATATTAAGGGGGCCGGGGGGATCGGGAGGGTCTTCATCAAAATTCTCTCGAAATCGACTTTATAAATGTTATTAATAGGCCGGGAGTGTTGTAGCGTAATGCACTACTGGGCCGCACCGCGCATCAAATAATTCGTGTCGCAACCACAGATCGGCGAGATGCACCACTGGACCTCGCTGAGCTAGGAAGGATTGACATCGTGAATCAAAGGGGAGTGATATCTATCAGCTGCTTTTGGTCCCATGGAAAAATATTGTTCCTAGCCGAAATTATCGCCGGTCAAAGGTCAGCGCTTATGTGTAAATTCAAAATTACATACGTTGTATGACCCGCCGCGCACGAAGTGCGGGGCTCCCCCTGTATCGTCGAAGACGATACTATAGTGAAGCGACAGTGGGGGTCACCACGTGATACAAGAACAACCATGGCTATATAGTTACGGCATGTAACCAGCTTACTGGGCCGCGCTCAGCCTGTCATTCCGCCTAATCTCTATGAATATGTTTATGAACATGATAGCCTGAGGTCCCCAGGTAAGTAACCAGCATGCACTGAGCACTTACAGGAAACCGAAGGATCTAATCTAACGCTGGCGACGGTTGAGGTGTTATACCACATTTTCTTCGTCCGAAGCTTTGCTGTATTAATCATGGACAGCTCCTCATTTAACCCTAGGCCTAACACACGATTTCTCGAGTATTCGGCCGAGTAGACCGGGGGCTGCATAGTATATATATATAGGTCCAACAGAACAGAGCGTCCAACAGAACAGAGCGTCAACGCGAACGACGCTCACCCCATGGCTAGCGGCACAGACGGCCATTTCTGTCATATTGTTTTGGCTCTGCTCGGCCATGGCCGAGGAGGGCCATTTCTTTGTCATATTGTTTGGCCCTGCTCGGCCATGGCCGAGCAGGGCCATTTTTAAAAAATGACCCCCCTCGGCCGAATGACCCTCCTCGGCCACATGAGTATGGTTTTTTATTTTATTTTTAAAATGACCCTCCTCGGCCATGGCCGAGGAGGGCCATTTTTGCGTCATATTGTTTGGCCCTGCTCGGCCATGGCCGAGCAGGGCCATTTAAAAAATGACCCTCCTCGGCAGAATGACCCTCCTCGGCCACGTGAGTATGGTTTTTTATTTTATTTTTAAAATGACCCTCCTCGGCCATGGCCGAGGAGGGCCATTTTTGCGTCATATTGTTTGGCCCTGCTCGGCCATGGCCAAGCAGGGCCATTTTTAAAAAATGACCCTCCTCGGCCGAATGACCCTCCTCGGCCACGTGAGTATGGTTTTTTATTTTATTTTTTAAAATGACCCTCCTCGGCCATGGCCGAGGAGGGCCATTTTTGCACCATATTGTTTGGCCCTGCTCGGCCATGGCCGAGCAGGGCCATTTTAAAAAAATGACCCTCCTCGGCCGAATGACCCTCCTCGGCCACGTTAGTATGGTTTTTTATTTTATTTTTAAAATGACCCTCCTCGGCCACCATACCATAGATCTCTAACTATTTTTTCAAATTGTTTGTTACAAATTGTAGAGACAATCCAAATAAAAAGTTATAATTTTTGTCCATTTATATCCATTTTGTCCATGCGGTACCTCATACCTATTTTGACAAAATCGTATGGACAAAAATGGACAAAAACAAAAAACATGATCCTCTTATATGTTTTTATTAGATACTTTTAAAATTAGGAGTGTCGGAGTACGTATGTACATTGTATACTCTGTATAAATTATTGAGTGTGAAATATGACATCAATAAACCTCTAATGCTCTATTATATATATGGACACGTTCATTTGAGTTTGAGGATATTGGTAAACAAAAATAATAGCGTTTTTGACGATAGTGGCTTAATTTTGACATCTATTAACCTAGCATGTTCAGAAGTTCTGAACATTAGCCATGTAACCCATACTCCCATATGCACCACTCAGAAAGAATATCTATTGTTGTTAGGCACTATAATGTTTCAAAAGTCACATTTTGTGTGACCTAGTTAACTGCAGTTGTCTAATTATCGTTCCTTGGTCTGAAATATAGTAAATTAGGTCAATCTAACAATTATGATACAACATTGGTTAATGGGCACGGATCGAACGGTTACAAGGCAATATTTGGGTAACGTTGTCACACTCATGATACCATACCTCTATTCTACTGTGAGGTGTCCTAAAAACCCTTTCAACTCATTATTTGATGGTTGCTCCACCAATCATAGCCCTAAAATATGTTGTTTTGAATAGTTAGCTAATACAGGCACTCGGTTATTGGGAAATGAGGTTAATTCTGTCACAATATAATATGGAATTTAAAATTTTGGGCGAATTATTTATATCTGATTTTGGTTTGAAAGGCGGGAAAATTTTATATGATGACAATGTAGTTGATGCAAGTTAAGATCAGTTGATGTTAACATTGTCACAAAAAATTATACGAAATCGTAAACAGATTAAAAACAATGATTATAGAATGAAATAGTCACTTATAATAACTCTTATAATAACTCTTATAATAACTGATGTGACAAAGTAAACATGTCTTGCCCCTATTTTGAAGATCTATATTCTATACCTCTATTAGAATATTGTCCAGAACATCAGAGTTTAAGTTTAACAATTTTAGGTTAAATTTGTCAAAGTCACTAAAAATGTGACTAAATTAACTTTTCATGCCCCAACAATTTCAAGATAGTGTGTAAAAATTAGCATAGGCTGCTTTATTACCTATATAAATCAATCCAAACTACAAAAAAATATATGTTAATGTGATGACGATTACCTAACTCTTATAATAACTGATGTGACAAAGTAAACATGTCTTGCCCCTATTTTGAAGATCTATAACTCTATTAGAATTCAACATTCTTTCATAAACGATTGGAAGAATATTGTCCAGAACATAAGAACTCAATTTTAAAAATTTAGATTAATTTGTCAAAGACATTGAAAATGTGACAAAATTAACTTTCCCTGCCCCAACAGTATCAAGATAGTGTGTTAAAATTGGCATAGGATTTATTACAGGTATATTAAAGTATTAATCGATCCAAACTACGAAAAATATCTTTTAATCTGATGACGATTACCTAACTCTTATAATAACTGATGTGACAAAGTAAACATGTCTTGCCCCCATTTTGAAGAACTATACCTCTATTAGAATACTATGTAACTTTATCATCAAAAAAATTTCGATAAACTAGTTATTTTGCCAGCAAGGAGCTAACAGAGTTATAATAATTTTTTGTGACAAAATTACCATATTTTTGACCATGTAGCGGTAGTTTAATTGTGACACTGTTAACATATTACCACCTGATAATGATTTATTTGACTGGTGCATGGTACTAGCAGTGTTGTTTGATCCATAGTACATATAATATAAGGGGTTTAAGCTGGTACATCATTATTTGTTCAATTTCACACATGTTCAGATATCATCAAGATTATGTGACAAAGTAAGCTTGGTTGTGCCTTCTGTGTTTTAATTCCTTACGACTATATGATATAATAACAATTCCCAGCACTTCCAGGCCATCAAATAATCTTACACTACTCAGCATTGCTTATCAGAGTGCCCTAAACATTCATCACATATTTTCTTTAATGTGTGACAGAGTAAACCTGGATGCACCATCTAACGAAAAAAGTCGTCAAATATGTAGGTAATGGTCATATGTACCCATCCAATCAACTGGACACTCAACAAGAATTGCGCCGGTTAGCGGACGCTAGATTTCCATCAACCGTAGTGATTGTCATGCCTTTTAAAATTTAAAATTTAAATTAACGATAGTTTCATGTTGGTCAAAATATTAAATAATGGTTCTTTATTCACCATTCTTGGGGCGCTACGGAACACAAAATGGAGGGGTTGCTATTGTCAATTAGTCAAATTTAAAAAGTTAAATGACCGGACACCGTAGCGCCTGCGCCTGTGTGGTGATATGCAGTTAAAAGTCGTGAAATCCGTAGTAGGTAATACTAATGCAACTCATAATAACATTTATGGTCCATTTCGTATAACAAATCAAGCACTCACAACAAAACGAGAAGTTAGTATGTTGTACCGCATCATGATCAATGATCAATTAAAGAAAAGCGTGAGCTACTTAACACATGTCACATGTAATGTATAAAATCCGGGAAATCGCGTGTTATCTAAATCAATTGGCGCCGCGCGCAATCGGAAGTGTAATTCGATCAAGATCGTCAAATCGTGCAAACGTATGCGGAGGGTAACCATGGCGACTACACCATAACTGCTCTGCGCGCAGAGAATATGCATTAAAATAACGTATGCAGAGGGTTATGCATGTTTTGCTTTGTGACACCGTACGAAAAACTTAGCTACCTACTATACCCATTCTCAATTCCTTCTGCACTTCTATACATCTTATGCCTTTTTAAAGAAAAAGACAGTTGATGTAAAAAATTTGGTCAAGAACGGCAGCAAGGGGTCCATATTTACTCCGTCACATGTTTATAGTGTGACAATGTAACCATTTCCGTGCCGGCCGTATTTAAGCGATATCTTATCACCTGATTAAGATATCGTTATGTGACAAAGTTAGGCTGGAGGATGAGACGATTATCCTAACCATCAAGGGTTTAAGTAATTTCATAGTGTGAAAAAGTCAACTACACTGTGCCTTTTAATAGGGTCACTTATATTTACCAATATCCTCAAACTCAAATGAACGTGTCCATATATATCTTACAGAGGTTTTCCGACCACAACCCACAGTGAAGAGTAACATTGTTTATATTCAGCCATCAGCACTCAGCAGCAATTCTGAGAGCTGGAGTTCTCTCTTGCAAGAGATTGTAGGTTTCAATATGTGTCTGTGTCCTAGATAATACATTATTAATAAAATGTTACTACAGAAGGGAAATGGAATAGTTATCTATTATGGAGATGTGAAAATGAGCCAGTGGTCGAGGAGCCCTTTATTTTGGCATTTTAACAATGGATGCCGATGATCTCCTGCTGATGTACATGCCATATTGTGTATACAAGAAAATTACTGTATGTCTTGACGAAGCAATAAAGAAACATCCTGAATTTTTGTCACAACACAAAGGGAAGGAAAACAGTGAGTTCGTTATGTTTATTATATTTTATATGCTATACTGTATAACAATATTCGATTAGATTCACTTGAATCTGCTGTATAACTTGACCTAAGAAAATTAAATTGAGATATAGATGTAATAGCAGTGTTTAATAATATGTATCATATAATATGTAAAAATACCTGATTTTCACAGTCTTCTATTCATAGAATTATCATCACCTGGAGTGTTGCTATTTGACGAATTGTCCCGGAAGAGTTGGACTTGTCATAATCTCAAAGTAGAGATTGAGTCATATGGTGATGATGATATCTCTCAAAGCTTTCAAACAAGTGTTAATGGTAAGCTATGTTGTTTATTCCTTAAAATCATATTTTTTATGTGTTTCATTGCATAGATTGTTGGAGTGTCTTTTCTCTTATAAAGTTGGGGGGGGGGGGGGGGGGGGGGGGGGTCCCAACTACAAAAAATACGAACGCACCCCTAAAATTTCAAATTCGTATTTGTATTTTTTCGTATTTTTTACAAATCGTCATTTTGATAATAGAAGATCACACATCTTCGTAATTAATCAGATCTAAGCTCAACTTAGCAGTGAAGAAAACTTAAAATAAATATGTAAACCATCATGTATCATACACAAAACCTGGGGGAGCCCCAACAAAAACGATGAACCCACCACAAAATTTTGAAATTCGCTCCATTTTCTAGCGTTTTTTCTTTATTAAATTTGGGATATATTGTGATCCATTTTTTATGTTTTATTGGAAATTGGTCCATTTAAGGATATGGTATACTCATTGAACAGCTATAAATTGTTGTAGATCTTTAATAAGAGAGTACAGTTTACATTGTACCTACTTCCTATCAATAAACGAGTAACCAATATATAATCGAATGATATGAATTAATGTGATCAGTCATCTGTACAATGTTTATTGCTAATTTATGATAATACTGTAATGTTTCAAACCTGCTAAGTTTATATTTTGTAATTTCACTTTACTGTTTTAGGCCGCGGTACCTCTTGAACATCTATCGATACACACTACACATCAGCACCATTCCCTATTATTCAACGTCACTGACATTATATTTTAATAATCCACGGCCCAGGAATGCAGTATAGATCAACTTATCCTCAGCCCCCCTGTACGGAGCAGCGCAATATGATTGGCTCTCATTAAAACACGTGACGTGTTACTATGTAATTGCAAAATTCGTGGCAAACTTTATGTTTTATGTCGATGTTTATACACGCCTCCCAAATCACAATTTATTTTGACAGTTTACATTTCTATAATTGCTCAAGCTATTTCGAGAAATATGTGTTCCCGAAAGAACTTGTGCAGTCCTCTCTCCTTCTCCTCCTCATCAGTACTCCTCTCCTCAGCCTCCTCATCTCCTCCTTAGTCCTCCTCTCCCTCTCCTCATTCTCCTCATCCTCCTCAGTCCTCTTCCTCAGTCCTACTCCTCTTCCTCCTCAGACCTTTCCTCCCCTCCTCGTCCCCAGTCCTCATCCTACTCGTCAGTCTCCTCATCCTCCTCGTCAGTCCTCCTCATCCTCCTCATCCTCCTCCTCAGTCCTTCTCCTCCTCATCACTCATCAGTCCTCCTTCTCCTTCTCATTCTTCTCATCCTCCTCAGTCCCACTTCCTCAGTCCCTCTCCTCTGCCCTCCTCAGACCTCCTCCTCCTCCTCAGTCCCCAGTTCCTCATCCTACTCGTCAGTCCTCCTCCTCCTCCTCCTCATCCTCTCCTCCTCTCCTCCTCAGTCCTTCTCCTCCTCGTCAGTCTTCCTCCACCTCCTCATCAGTCCTCCTTCTCCCCCCCCTTCTCTTCCTTCCTCCTCTACTCCCTAAGTTATCCTCCTCCTCCTCAGTCCTCCTCCTCCTTCTCTCCTTCCCTTCTCTCCTCCTTCTCCTCCTACTCATAAGTCCTCCTCCTCCTCAGTCCTCCCCAAGTCCTCTTCGCGTCAGTACTCCTCCGCGTCAGTACTCCTCCTCCTCATCCTCCTCCTTAGTCCTCCCTCCTCCTCCCTGTCCTACTCTCATCTCCTCCTCCTCATTCTCCTCATCATCCTCAGTCTCTTCCTCAGTCCTCATCATCTTCCTCCTCAGACCTCCTCCTCCTCAGTCCCCAGTCCTCATCCTACTCGTCAGTCCTCCTCCCTCCTCCTCCTCCTTCTCCTCCTACTCCTAAGTCCTCCTCCTCCTCAGTCCTCCCTCAGTTTCTCCTCATCAGTCCTCCTCCAGCCTCCTTCTCCCTCCTTCTCCTGTCGAACCCCCCTATTCTAAGTCCTCCCTCCATCATCATCCTCCTGGTCCTACCCCAGTCCTCCTCCTCCTCCTCCTCATCAGTCCTCTCCTCCTCTCCCTCCACCTCCTGAGTCCTCCTCCTGAGTCCTCCTCCTCCTCCTTCTCCTTCTTACTTTCTTATCAGTCCTCCTCCTCAGTCCTCGTCCTCGCTCTCGTCCTCCTCCTCAGTCCTCCTTAGTCCTCGCGTCCTCTCTAGTCTCCTCCTCCTCCCCCCGTCCTCAGTCCTCTTCCTCTCCTCCTCCTCCTGAGTCTCCTCCTCTGGAGTCCTCTCCTCATCAGTCCTCCTCCTGGTCCTCCTCCTCATCCTCCTCCACCTCCTGAGTCCTCCTCCTGAGTCATCCTCCTCCTCCTCATTCCTCCTCCGTCATCCTCCTCCCTCAGTCTCCTCATCCTCCCTCCTCATTCTCCTCCTTATCCTCCTCCTCCTCAGTCTCCCTTCTCATCCATGTCTCCTCCTTCTCTCCTAAAGTCTCCTCCTCAGTCGTCCTCCTCCTCTTCATTAGCCCTTGTCCTCATCCTCCTAGTCCTCGTCCTTAGTCCTCATCCTCATCCTCCTCTGTCTTCCTCCTCAGTCCTCTCCTCCTCTCCTTCATGTCTCCTCCTCCTCATTCTCCTCCTTCTCCTCCTACTGCTAAGTCCTCCTCCATCCCTCAGTCCTCCCCCCAGTCCTCTCTCTCATCAGTCCTCCCCCAGTCTCTCTTCTCCTCCTCCTCATCCTCAGTCCTCCTCCTCATCATCCTCCTCAGTCCTCCCCAAGTCCTCCTCTTCCTCAGTCCTCCCCCAGTCCTCCATCTCATCTCCTCATCCTCGTCCTCTCCTCAGTCCTCGTCCTTCTCCTTCTTATCAGTCCTCCCTCCTCAGTCTTCCTCATCATCCTCGTTCTCGTCTCCTCCTCAGTCCTCCTCGTCCTTAGTCATCCTCCTCTACTCCCCGTCCTCAGTCCTCTTCCTTCTCCTCCCTTCTCGTCTTCCTCTTCCTCCTCCTCCTCACCAATCCTGCTCCTCTTCCTCAGTCCTCCCTCTCCTTTTCAGTCCTCCTCCTCAGTCCTCCTCCTCCTCAGTCCTCCTCGGTCCTTCTCCTCCTCCTCCTCAGTCCTCCTCCTCATCCTCCTCCTTCTCCTCTTCCTTCTCCTCCTAATCAGTCCTCCTCCTCAGTCTTCCTCCTCCTCAGTCCTCCTCCTCCTCAGTCCTCCTCCTCCTCCTCAGTCCTCCTCGGTCCTTCTCCTCCTCGTCAGTCTTCCCCAGTCCTCTTCCTCCTTCTCCTCCTCCTCCTCCTCAGTGCTCCTCTTCATCAGTACTCCTCCTCCTCCTCATCAGTTTACACAATTTATTGTTACTAAAATGTTTTTAAACGCATTTGAGTCTGTAACATATTGACATGTTACTGTTACTGCCTCAAAATGTGCTCGAGAATTATTTTGTTTAAGAGAGTTTTACTCTCCAGTACTATGGAAAAGTTGTTACATGATGAATAAAGATTTTGATAAATAAAGTGATTTTCATCCCTTTTAATGTTATTAAAAATTGTGTAGACTATTCTTTGTATCTAACTGAGGATTGGAAGTTTGAGAAAGGACCATGGTCATTAACCGTGCTACCCATTTCTGCAGATAGCCTGTTACAAATTGTGGAGACAATTTAAATCAAAAGTTACTAAAGCGTTCGCTATTTTTTACGATTGTTATTACCAACCGTACCTCTTTCAATTGTGGACCGGGTGGATGTTTCTGTCAAACAAGAGTTGATACGACAGTGTGTTGTTTTTCGGACGAAACGATTCTTGTTTAGAACAAGAAACCATTTTGGGGTTCTGGGACCACCACCAATCGATTTCTTGTCATATTTAAGTACAGAAATAGCTACCTATATCGCCTAGAAACCTCAGAAAGATCTGATAGAATATTAATATGAATGTGCCATATATAGTCTATATATTATAATATATAATGGGTTCAACCGAAGCTGATTAAATTTCGTTTTAGGAACCCAACTTACCAGACGTATTTGGCAATAATATTCTGTGATGTAGCATTCAAAGACCTTTATAAATCACAATTAATACATCATGATATCTGAATTGTGATATTAATATCCCAGTGATTTTGACATTTACGCTTACGTGAGATTGACAAGCAGCTAAACTCCAATTATTAATTAGTAGGTAATCGTAGTATTGTATTTTCATTTGTTCACCAGTTTTGCTGCGTCTTATTTATCTTCTCTGATGTCATACAGTGTAATATACGAAGATACAACGGAGAATACCAATGAATTTATAGATCCATTTCTCTGGGATATTTAGTTATTTCTAGAGTAAAAAAATGTTGGTAAAAAATACGAAAAAATACGAAAAAATACGAACGCACCCCTAAAATTTGAAATTCGTATTCGTATTTTTTGTAGTTGGACCCCCCCCAAGTTGGCTTAAGTCTGTCTTTGATTCTGACAATAGCTGATCCAGTTACTTAATAGATATTGTGTGCTTGATTGGAATTGGTTTTCTCTCTCAATACCAATTTACTACATAAGACTTATCTTACTGCTATCTCAGCAAATAAACACACAACAACTTTGACAATTGACAAATGATTAAACCCCAGCTCAAGATTTATGCGAGATTGCGAGCCGGACTCATCGCACAAAATTTGTAAATAAATGAGGAAACAGAAAAAGTTTAACTTAAAAGTTGAGGTAATTAGGAACTTAACATGTATTTTATACTCTTAACGTGTATTTTATCACTTGTTTATAGCGTGAAAACTTCGACGTAACGCGCGCGAGATTTTTGCCAGATTTTTGCGAGTTTCGTTTAAATCTCATAGCTAGGCTCACGATATCGTGAGATTCTCCGCGAGATTTCGGCACCCTCTTTCAGCACTACATATTCGGTCGCGCGCTTGCATTTTCATCGCTTTTCAGCGTGTTTATTCACTGTACTGTCTAAGTCTTAAAGGATACTAGTTGTTATAAGATCAAGATTCACAGTGGTTACTATAGTTACCATGGTTACCATTAAAGGAGGTACTATTCCTGGCTACAGTCTACTCAATCTTTCTCAGAATATACTTGATACTGCCATAGGCATAGTGAATTAAAAGTTTGAGAAAGGGTCCCTTCAACTGGAGAACTGACTTATTAATCTTAGCAGGTAATTAACTCTGGATCCTCATCACATTGATTCCATTCTAAATTCTAGCCATAAACAAAACAAACATTACCAGATAACTCCGTTTACAATAATTTGACATGTTCCAGTGTGAACGAGGCCTTCCCCGGACAAATCCTTAAATGCCAGTCTTCTCTTGATCTTAGTTCTCTAGATGAAGTACGAACAGTATAATCTATCGGATAACGTATATAACAAGGTGCTCTGATGATAATTTTAGTAAAATAATTAATAATTGCCAAAAGAATGACCACTGACGAGACTCGAACCCGAGTCAACTGCTTGGCGAGCGCGCCCTAAACCATCGGGCCACGTGAGGCTTACCATAATTACAATATGTAACATAATATAATTCATAAAAATACGCACGTAAATTTTTCGTTATTTATGGATCCAATAACAGTGACATACTTTTCGCTTACAAAGGGACTCGCGAAATCTTTTTAAATAGAAAATAATTAGTGGGGCAAGAAATCTTGCAGGCTGGAGGGGGGGGGGGGGGGGGGTGGGTGGGGAGTACATTTCGCCACTGCACGTGACACGTGAAAATCGCACTTCTAGTGTCAAAATCCAGTCTCATCGCACTTTTTTTAGAATCTTGATAGGGGGATTAAACGATTGTGAGTTATGACGGACTTAACTGTATGGGTCAACTACTGAAACTGTATTGTATACTATCTTAAAGTTAATCATTATACTATACTGGATTATTATATATTATATAACAGTTATAAATGTTCAATAGTTGTAGAGCAATTTCAAGAGTAGTGGTCCACAGGGGTCCGAAAAAGCCGTACAGGCACTTGGGTCCTTATCCTTGTCACTAATCTCAACTGGATTCGGTTTACACAAAACATGAACATTTATTCGTACACATTGACACGATATTTATCAGAAAGCAAAAAATATAAAATAATACGTGCGTGCGCGGCTTGAGCCGCGCCGCATTAGAATGGATGCGTGTAGGGGCTGGAGTACGCTTGTTTATAGATTAATGAAATGTTGCACTGTAAATATTTAGAATTGACGATATATTATGATCTAATCTAGTAAATATTACAAAGCTGGCTTTGGATTTAGGTTTAAGACTATAATTTATTTAAAAACACGGATAGTTTTAAATTTATTTCTATTTGTCGTATAACTATAAACAAGTTAATCCTGTTTTCATAATTGCGCGGCTTTGGCAGCCAGTTATTGACTTATACATAAAATTGAATTTTAAATAGAAATGTGAATATATTAAATTTAAAACTTTCAAAACGGAGGCTTATAAATACTATTATATTATGATTGTAAAATAAAGGATAAAATTTTAAATTTGTTTCACTAAAATTTGTTTCACTATCTTTGTGATCCTAATATCAACCAAAATAATAAAAAGAGCTGAACTTAGAACGTTTATAAAAGTGTTTGTTTGAAAGTTATTTGAAACTGTTTTCTTGAAATTTGTTGTTTTCTTGACTTCATTTAACAGATGTTCATGTTGCATGTAATAATCATCTAAAATTTCTGGAGCTGGGTCTCTGTCTTCTAAAGATAAAAATTTCAGTCATCGGAGACAAGAGCCAAAATGGAGAGCAAAGTTTGTTATCTCAAAACTTAGCATTACAAGATCATGTAGATGAATTAAATCTTCAACTACGTCTCCAAGAACAACACATAAGCAGAGTTGGCCATCAGGAACATTTGGTATGTAACTGTTTCACAGATATTATTTCATATTCTAATTATGTGCATCCCAATACCATGACTATTATTTAATTGTGGTGTAGGGTTATCCAATTTATTTATAATTTATTGGCAAACACAGTTTTATTTCTATATCTTCAGGTACCTCTTCAAAGAGGCAGTCACATGTACAGATCTCCTTCTCCCATAAATTGTCTCGAAGAAGACCCTGATGACATTGAATTTGGGTGAACAGTTTTGACACCTGCATTATTTGTTTAATTCTCCTGCTGAAGAGTGAAGATAGGAAATGATGATAGAAATTGCCACGCATCTCCAGATTGATTTGAAAATCTGGGCTACCTATAACAATATTACTAAAATAAGGAAAAGCTGTCATTTAAAATTTTTGAAATAGGTTTTAGATTTAGTTGTCGCGGTGGGAGTGAGCTCAATATCGAGATCTGTAAATAGATCTATAATTAGAGTTCATAAAAGTTAGGTCCACCTTTGTTGTCATAATAATATATGTCCAAATGTGTCTGTATTATTAGAACTTTATTATATATAGACGGTACTCTGTAACACAACAGGAACTGCTTAGAATATTAAAACATCAATGGCAGTGAAAGGATTATAATTTTGAAAATCTTGCTTTCCAGTCTTTTTACCTTCTTTCAGTTGCCCCCTTTTCTCCTGCCTTTGTTTTCATATGACTGTGTCCCATATGACTGTCCCATATATGACTGTGTCCCATATGACTGTAGCTCAGCATCTTTCTCGCAATTCTACGTACCTTGGTTTTCGAATTATCTAGTTTGAAGCTTACCAAATGTTGCCATTATAACACGACTTTCCTCCAGTTGCAGGCTAAACCCTTCACGGAATGTAAATTGTTAGCTGGACGATGATTGGTGATATGAGATTTTGGTATTCATGCTCACTTCCTTCAACTGTAAATTTGTATTATACTATCATAGTTATCCTGGAATTTATTTACAACTAGGTATTATTTCATACTGATTTGTGTGTTATTAGCTTTTATCTGGTGTTTGTTTGGGGTTTTGCAAGAAAGCTCAGAAGTAATGCAGGGTTCCCTAATTATATCCTTTTGGAAAATAACATAATTTAAATTTATTTGAATCTTTGAGTTTTTTAGAACTTGTAGAAACTTCTTATAAATTTCCAAATTAGTTTCCGATTTAACACCTCCAATTGAAACAAAAATGTACTTGTGCAATGAGAAGTTGTGTATTGTCTCATATTATAAACGATGGGAGGGGATAAGATTTAAAGTCCTTCTGCTGGCAATGATAATTTAGCATGTAAAATATTTTGAAAAAAAAAAACTCTGGCTAATATAACATAACTGTGAGAAGTAAATGGATAGTTGAGTATTTTATGGAAAATTGAAATAAAATCTAGTTTATGATAAATTTATTACTGTTTGTGTTACTATTTGGTTATTTTCCCATTTAATTTAATGATGAAGATCATGACGTCTTTTCATGATGTTTTAGTCTTGTATTATCTTTATATCATGTTTCCTTGATAATAATATGAAATGTCTAAAAAAGCATCAAATTAAGGTTATTTTCTACTAATACTGTCCATTCTTGCATCTCTCATTGTGAATTGAAAAATGTTGCACTGGACACAAAAATGTAATCGAAATCTGATCTCTTCAAGAAAACAACAAATTTTTCAAGAAAACATTTCTTAGTTGAATGTACACTGTATAGCATTTATTACATGAAATTGACAGGATTTATCTACAATAGACTACAGTATAGGACCATGCCAACAGAGGAAGATTTAAAAGCGATAGTTGTACACAAAAAGTACAGTTCCTCACGAAAAGGCAAGGGTGAGAGCGCTCGAAAGAGAAAGAGATCATCTTCCAGTGATAGCAGTCATACCTCTATATCTTCAGGTATCCCAGGTTTTCTTTCACCTTCTATTTTTTATATTAATTTACTGCCTATTAAGGGGCATAATTGTTGACCTCAAGTTAAAGCATTATAAGATATTTTAATCTATGAACATTTCTCTTTTATTAGCTATTGAAGTCAATTTTATTAATGCTTTTCATAGAATTTATTATATTCATGTAACAATCATCACAGAAACTGAACATAAGAGTGAAATAAAGCAAGAGGCGAAATCAGCAAATCCAGATGTGGGCTTCATTCCAAGTAGATTCTTGAAAGATAAACCTCAAAGACGAAGCTCGTCACGACGCCGCGAGGAGGAGACTCTAGTCAGCTATCCTGGGTACAAAGATTCAAAGTCCCGTCGAGATGAGGTGAAACGAGAGCGATCCTTGAATGAAAGACGAGATGAGAGGAGAGATGAGTCTAGAAGAGATGAGTCTAGAAGAGATGAGTCCAGAAGAGATGAGTCTAGAAGAGATGACAGAAGGGATGACAGAAGGGATGACAGAAGGGAGGATAGAAGGGAGGATAGAAGGGATGAAAGAAGGGATGATAGAAGACACGAGGACGATGACAGGGGCAGACGTGATAGAGGTATAAACTATAAAACTAATAGATCGCTTTGTTTGCCAATTTTCACATTTTAACTTGTGATTATATCTTTTGTTTTTATATTTCCTTATCAAGTTATCACAGCAAAACAACATTTAAGATGACAACTTTATAAACGAGTCTGTATTTAATTTATAAATTCCCTGATTTCAGATGTTACTTTAACATTGCACCAGATTACTGGCACCAGATTACTTGAAACTCGTTACATCTGTTGTGAACAGCAAATTGACAAAATAAATACTTTCAGACCACGACAATAGGCGAGATGACCGTGGACGGGTAGATGACGATAACGTCACACGGCGCCCACGTGCGGAAGAGGACAATTCGCGCGGATCAAGGAATGACTACCAGAAATCATTCGCTAACCAGAGAAGAGATCCCGAGCAAACCAGACCCAGGCGTGGCGATGAGGATAACAGGTTAATTTTCAATCCTTGAGATAAAAAGAGAAGTTTTAATACTTTCAACACTACTATATAACAAATAATTTGAGGACCCCGAACTCAATTTTGATTCTCTACTGACTCTGCTGATCTGCACTGTTTCACTTTGTAAAAGAAGTGCGCAATGATCGGAGAAGGTGGTTTTGATGATGAGGGTAACAGGTCCTCAATCTCGTTACAGGATGATACGCCAAAGAATGACAGGAATGTTAGCGAAGATATGTTATCCCCGCAACGTTTCACACCTATCCTGAACTCATCCACATCCTCTGAAAGTACTCAACAGCGACAAGGTAACACTCTTCAATACCAGTTTGCCTACATCAAAGACGGCACTTGTAATACCTGTAATGATGTTCAAGCTAATGACACTGCTCTTACCTGCTTTTTGTGTAAATCGTCATTTCATGCTGTTTGTCGAGATGCTGATAAAGATAGGATCAATAATGCTGTAATCTGTCCTCGCACTTTCTTCAAAGCATACTCCAACAGAAACGAAACCAAGGGTGTTAACAGTTCCAGATTTGGGACTTTTACGTTTGTGTGTAATGTCTGCAAGACACGCTCTGAACAGAACTCCGCAGTCAGTGCCGAAAGTAAAGTCGACCTGATTGACAGGCGAGTAGATAATCTGACCCAATCTATGGAGGACATGAAGGGTTTACTTATGAAAGTTGTGAATATGAAAACATCTCCGGACAAAACTGAAATTTCTTCTCCTCCATCTCCAGCACCAGTTGCCCCTTCATATCGCTCTGTATTAATCATGTCCAGCAAAACACCAGAAAATCAAGCAAAAGATCGCCAAGAAGAAGTTGACAAAATCATCAAAGACAACGCCATTCATGCTGACAAACGGTATGTCAACAAGAATGGGGACATTGTGGTTGTGTGTCCGACAACGGCTGACAGGGAAAATCTTGTCAAGAAAGTATCCCAGCAACTTCCAGATATGAAAACGCACCAGCCACCAGAACGTTTGCCCACAATCTCTGTTGCTAACCTTGCTGATAATTATTCTGAAGAAGATCTAGAAGACCTGCTCCTTCAAGCTCACCCCAACATTAAGGCATTAAAATCCCAGGGTGAAACATTTTCTGTACTAAAAGTTAAACCTCAGATCAAAAACAGCAGCAAGCATCAAGCCACTATACGAGTTAGTAACAATATCAGGAAAATCATAGAACAACAGGGAGATCGGCTATACATCAGTTCGTTTAGTTGCAAAGTTTATGATCAATTTCATGTAAAACGATGCAACAACTGCCAAGGTTTTGGACACTACAGGTCGGAGTGTGAATCAGAAAAAGCTATTTGTGGTTATTGTTCCAAGAATCATACGTCAGAAGATTGTCCAGAAAAGAAAACTAATAGTCCTATCCCATGCTGCATTAACTGCTCTAAGGGCAAGTATCGGGATGAACGAAACACACACACGGCATTTGATAGGACATGTCCAGCTTATGTTGCTGAACAGCAGCATCTCCGCAAAACTATCAATTACTACAGTTCAAAAAACTTGTAAGCAGTGGTCTGAAATCCTCTCCGGTGGAGATTCTTGGCTGTTGCTGGAATGTGAGATCTCTCAATAATAAGATTCAACCAATCATGGAATCTATAATCGACCAAGGAATCTCTGTCTTTTTTGTCACTGAGACTTGGCTCACCAGCATGAAGAATGATGTTACTGCTACCATCAAGTCTTACGGCTATAACTTGATTCACTACATCAGGAAAGACTCTGCTAAATGCAGAGGCGGAGGAGTTGGAATTATTTACAATTCAAGTGATTTGAACCTTACTCCTGTGTTTGATAAGTGTGGAGATACGTTTGAAGCAGTTTTAGGCAAATTTCGAGACTCATCGGGTGATACTGTCCTCTGTGCTTGTGTTTACCGACCAGGGTCATTGACTGATGTATTTTTTGAAGATTTGGATGAGTTTATTGGGAACATATTCATGAAATACAAGAAGTTTTTAATCTGTGGTGATCTTAATATTCATTTGGATGATCATAAATCAAGAAACACGGCCAAACTGACTGAAGTATTGGCCAGCTATGGACTGCATCAATACGTGAGAGATCCAACTCACAACAAAGGACATATTCTGGATGTTGTAATCTCCTCCCATCAGATAGTCAATCCAAAGAGTGTCACAGTAGACTCGCACACCTCGGAAATGTTCCCAAACTGTGACCATTTCCCGGTTACTTTTAGCCTCACAAAAACAGTTGCAAGCAATCTCAACAAGAAAAAAGTTATCACATTCAGAAATGTCAAAGAAATTGACAAAAATTGTTTTGCGGATAATCTTGCTGAGGAATTGGTTACTGTAATGGATCCTGAGGGTCTATCACAAGCTGAAATGCCGTCATTTGAAAGCCGCATCAGCCTATACAACTCTAAGTGCCTAACTGTGCTGAATAACCATGCTCCTCTCCTCACAAAGGAAATCAAAGAACGTAAGTCTGCCCCTTGGTTCGATGGTGAATATAAAGCACTTAGAAGCCAAAGAAGAAAAGCCGAGACAAAGTGGAAAATCTCCGGATCTTTAACTGACAAGAAACACTATGAATCAATCAGAGAGCAGTGCACAGAACTCTCAGACAGGAAGAAACATGAGTTTTTCAAAGTCGAATTCATAAAGCATTCCTATTCTTCTAAGAGTCTTTTTAGATTTGTGGACACCTTTCTTGATCGGGATAAAAGCATTGTGTTGCCTTCGTCGGAGTCTCTCAAGGACACAGTCGAAAACTTTAACGTATATTTTCAGGAGAAAATAAAGGCAATACGAAATAACTTTGATCATGTGGAGTCTGACGATCAAACGCCCTCTTACTGCGGAGAAAAACTAGCTGAGTTCTCTCCAACTACTCTAGAAGAACTAGAGGAGATAATCAAGGCATCTGAGATCAAGTCTTCTTCAATTGACCCTCTACCTGCAAACATCTTTAAAGAAAACCTTGAGGTTCTACTACCCGTCTTAGTTGACATAGTAAATGCTTCATTATCTTCTGGCAGTATTGATGGCGCTAAACTAGCTCATATCACACCCCTGATCAAGGGCCAGGGATTAGATAGTGATAATCTCAAGAATTACAGACCAATATCTAACCTTAGTTTTGTGGGCAAGTTGATAGAAAGAGTAGTGCTCAGGCGTCTAAATGAACATCTAGAAAACAACAACCTGAACATCCCACAGCAGTCTGGATACAAATCAAAACACAGCACCGAGACTCTGCTTGTGAGAGTTGTTAACGATCTACTCATTGCATCTACAGAAAGCAAGGCAACTGTTGTTCTTCTCCTAGATCTCAGCGCAGCTTTTGATACAGTTGACCACTGCAAACTACTGAACATCCTCAGAAATGAGTTGGGAATAACAGGGACAGCTTGGAAATGGTTCAGCAGCTTCCTCACAGGTAGATGTCAAACGATTAAAGTTGGAAATGAGGAATCTTATGAGATAGTGATTAAGTTTGGAGTCCCACAGGGCTCTGTGCTGGGTCCGGTCCTGTTCAACATCTACATTCGCTCTTTGTACTCAGCAGCACATGATTTGAACTTCTCCATCCAGGGTTACGCCGACGATCATCAGCTGTATAAAAGTTTCAAGCCAAACGAGGAGCCCACCGTCCTTATCAACGATGTTCCCAAATGTTTCCAAGAAATTAATGACTGGATGAAAAAACATTATCTACAGCTCAATGCAGGAAAAACTGAGATTCTTGTCTTTGGGACACCGCTTGTTCTCCAGCAGCTGTCTATAGGGGGCGTGTTTGTTAACTCTGAGACGTGTGTCAGGCTGTCACCTGTTGCAAAGAACCTCGGATTTCGTCTCGACTCTCAACTAAACTTTGGTGAGCAAATCAAGCAACTTAAAACATCGTGTTTTCTGAAACTAAGAGACCTTGCTAAGATGAAAACATTTCTCACAACCAAACAGATGGGAACACTGACTCAAGCAATTGTAATCTCATCGCTTGACTACTGCAATGCACTTTACTATGGTTGTAGTCAAGCCTCAATTACGCAGCTGCAGAACATTCAGAACCGAGCATGCCGTCTGGTTTTTGGATTAAAGAAGAGAGACTCAGTCGAGGAGAAGCTCAAATCCCTTCATTGGCTCAAGGTGAAGGAGAGGATTGAGTTTAAGTTATGCTTACTGATTTTCAAAGCAGTCAATGGTGTTGCTCCTGCATATCTGTGTGATCTAGTAACATTTGTTAGTTCGAGTAGCAGAAGAACTTCCTCCTTACACCTACCCGTCGGATCTACAAGATCACACCCAAGAGCGTTTCAGACTGTTGCTCCGAAAATCTGGAACCAACTACCAATTGAAATTAAGACTTGTTCCGATGTTGATCTGTTCAAAACATTATTAAAAACTCACCTGTTTAAGAAAAGTTATGGCATGAGCGATTAATTGACAATATAATAACTTTATGTTATTTGCTTAAACTGTTTAGGATGCAACCTAATGTCATGATCTTTTTGAACTTATTATTAGCAATTAGACTGTTAGCTCGCTTCACAAGCATGTCATCTTCGTTCCAAAACTTTTTATGTCCTATGCATACACTCCTTGATAGTTATCTTGATCTAGTATCTTTGTTTCACACAATAGAGCATAAGTTTTGTGGTTTATCCACTGGGCTTAGAGTTTGTGTTTAAGCTACCAAATTTTATTATTATTATTATTAAGTCCAGTAAAACGTTGATTTCAAATTGTTTGAATTTCTGAGACGCATTGGAATTTTGAGATATGCCCTGAGAATCACCATTTAAAGCGAACATTGTGTTTTCAGAAGGAAGCCAAGAGAGGATCCAGAAAGGGTCTCAGGAAAGAGGTCTTCGTCTATAGATTCGAACAAAAGAAAAGGCAGGGTAAGTTATTTAACAATTAAGGGGGCCGGGGGGGGGGGGGGTCTTCATCAAAATTCTCTCGAAATTGACTTTATAGTTGTTTCTGATAGAGAGGAGTGATATCTACCAGCTCCTTTTGGTCCCATGGAAAAATATTGTTTCTAGCCGAAATTATCGCCGGTCTAAGGTCAGCGCTTATGTGTAATTGTATTGCGCGAGCGATTTTCAATCGCAAATTTTGAAAATCGAGTCTAAAAATCTATCTTCTCCTACATTTTTTGAGCAATCACCTTGAAACTTTCAGGATATGTTCTAGGGACCATTTAGAAGAGATCGTTCAAGCCAAAATTTTAAGATAGGCCTTTAAAAAATTTTAATTCAATTTTGAAAATCTTGGACCTGAAAAAATCGTAAAAAAACGAGGTCCAAGATTTTCAAAATTTAATAAAAAAATTTTAAAGGCCTATCTCAAAATTTTGGCTTGAACGATCTCTTCTAACTGGTCCCTAGAACATATCCTGAAAGTTTCAGGGTGATTGCTCAAAAAATGTAGGAGAAGATAGATTTTTAGACTCGATTTTCAAAATTTGCGATTGAAAATCGCTTGCGCAATACAATTACACATAAGCGCTGACCTTAGACCGGCGATAATTTCGGCTAGGAACAATATTTTTCCATGGGACCAAAAGCAGCTGGTAGATATCACTCCCCTCTATCAGAAACAACTATAAAGTCAATTTCGAGAGAATTTTGATGAAGACCCCCCCCCGGCCCCCTTAACATATAGTTTAATATTTCTAACATATTATATTAAAACATGATTGACCAACCTTTTGTCGTCGGTTTTCGTTTCTAAGCTAATCGAATTCTGACCAAACGTTACATATGTATTTTGATGTTCATGTTAAGATAGAAATTTTGCCATTTCAGTACAATTCAATTGCAATAAGATCATGACATATTTATTGACATTCCAGAGAGATGAAGATGAAGACTACGACCCAATCTCAGACGAGGAGTTAGCTATGTTAGAGGAAGATGCTGGAATCATAGAGATCTACAAAGAGTTGGAGCGTGAAATGCGCAGCAAGCGCTACACCGCCAACCTGGATAGTGTTGATTTCAGCGCTCTTGATTTACTGAAACCTGAGGTATGCTGAGCTCGTGATATCATGGATCGCTTAGGTTCCACCAGGATCTGGTAGTCCTCATAATTCTGCGGCCTCCATGTATCGTTATCTCGCACAACTCTTTGAGAATCTTGTGAATTTGGCATGTGAGAATTTGCAGCCTTCCAGACATTAATTGAGTCAACGAGGTATCGTACGTCACCTCAAGATCGGGTGACAGGGGGCTGACCAGGCCAGAACCAAATTGATTGGGTCTGAGGTCACGTCATTATGACTTATGAGCCTGAGGTCACGTGACTATGACGTCACCTTGTTCTCCGTTTCCCGCTCATTGGACCAGGTGAGCTTGCATGCTTGTGAATGTGGGTGTAAGTTCAGCTGTACTGTAATTTATACCTAATTACCCCTATAAAAACCGAAAATTTATTTTCAGGCAGAAAGCTAGAAATTTACCAAAGTATCGACATTCGACATTGCTATTTATACGTATTTATAAACTTATTTTACGTATTTGTTACCTGTTACTAATTAATCAACAGGATCATAATGTTGATTGCATCGATAAAACATGGATTTTAAGGCATAAGGAAGCATTGTTAGGTTCTGAAACCAAGTTTAATCGATTTCTCATGCAATTTTAGGTCAGGGATGGTCATCAAAATAAGTTTATAGCAATGTCGATACTTTGGTAAATTTCTATCTTTCTGCCAAAAAATAAGTTTCGGTTTCTATAGGGGGTAATTAGGTATTACCCCCTATAGAAACACACCCACATTTACAAGCATGCAAGCTCACCTGGTCCAATGAGCGGGAAACGGAGAACAAGGTGACGTCATAGTCACGCGACCTCCTAGCCTGTCACCCGATCTTGAGGTGATGTACAACACCTCGTTGACTCAATCAATGTCTGGAAGGCTGCATATTTTCACATGCCAAATTCACAAGATTCTTAAAGAGTTGTGCGAGATGACGATACATAGAGGCCGTAGAATTATGAGGACTACCAGATCCTGGTGGAACCTAAGCGGTCCATGATATCACGACAGGCCCTCAGCCTGAGCTGGAACTCTGGAATTTTGGGTTTTGTTTAGAATGTACAGATTTCTGTTTTGGAATTTTTTCGGGTGACTATTACAATTTTATTGGAACGTGGAAAGTCGTCTGTTGCTATGTAAATTTCGTCTGAAATATTAGCTTGATACTGTTGGTTGAGCCTGATTTCTATTGGAAAACTTCTGTAAAAATATGACTGATGATAACAACTCATGTTTAGAAGAAACTAGAACCGGAACCAAGGACGAAGGACCCCATAGACCGGCTACTGAAGTGTGGCTACAGCGCTAACTACGGCGGTAAAGCAATCACCGAAAAGATAAAAGCATTGTCTTTACAGAGGGGTGTAGGTGAGAAATATTCCGGAATATTTCGAAATGTTCCGAATATTCAGAGTTTAGATGTTGCTTTGAAGATTATTCAATAAGATCATAGCATAGTATGGTATTTAGTCATTTGACGCACGGTAAAAAATATGAAAACTATCAAATAGTTACAAGTTTTACAATATTATTGAGATTTTTGTGACAAAATTCACCTAACACTTAACAGTTAACACCACCCAGAAGCACCGCTGAACGGAGCGTTCTCAGCCAACAAGAAGACATTAAGAACAGTGTTCCAAGAAACCCTGTCCCCACACATAGCTTTATCTTCTCACACTGACCTTCTTCTTAGACAGAAACTAGCGCTACTGTCACGTGATAAGAACGTGAGTTTGGAAATTCTTATCTTCTATTTATGTTATCTTATCTTGTTAGTTGTTCCACTAGCGTATAGAGGAGAGCGGCTGGGGTTATGGTAGTGCAAACTTTTTAGACTAAAACATGAGAATCTTTTTTCGGCTGGAAGATCGGTTTGAGTAATTGCCCGTACTAACATACATACATACATACACTGCATGTTTCTTGTGTATTTGAATGTTACTTAGGGTAAATGTGTGATTATTATTAGTGTGAATGTGTGTATTGTTAAATTTTCACACACATTTTCACTAAATGTGTGATTGATTTCAGGGCTTATACGTGGAAAAGCGTGAGGTGACTTGATATTGAGCTATGATTTAATGTGATGTGTTGGTCCAAAACTGACGTAACGTTTCTTGGCCAATTATAGCATGTTATCAGCTATCTGGTCTTGTTGACATTGTGTTAATTATGGCCCAACCTGTATTACCTAATCATTTGCTGCTGGCTGTTATTTTGCTGGTTTTCAATCGTTTACCTTACGAGACATATTTAAATGGTACGAAAGTGGTTTTTCGAAAAAATCACCAAAATTTAGGTCACCGTCAAAACAGACACCATCGCGTCGGTCTCATATACCGTCTAGAGGATTAGAAGTTAAGTTGAGGCTGAGTTTCATAGAATCCGGAGGAATTGTTTACAAGATAAAACAGCTGATCAGAGAAGATCTTTGTACTTGATTTTATCAAATATTGGGTTTCATTTTTGTAAAATAAGGAGCTGATGAAAAAATCCCCATATTCGCTACAAGAGAAACGCTCTTCAAACTACATTACCATGATTTAATTTGGGGTAAGAAATTTGGCGGTTTTCGGAAAAAATTCCCATATTTTCGTTCCCAAATTATTTAGGTCACCGGAATTATGTCGAACATGAATATGTCTCGTAAGGTATCAGAGCTGATCATAAGTAAATTAAAATTAAAATAATAAGCTTTTAATACGCAAGAAGGCCGTTTGACACTCACTGTACAGATTTGATTTTAGAACTTTAGAAGAACTGGCTTGCTTTGCCTCCGTATCTGTGATAAATTAAATAATTGGAATGAAAAAAAAGACAACAATCAATTATTTTAATCGACATAGAATAATAAATCTAACTCTTACTCACTATTCAGGTGTCAGAGATAGTTTTAACAGATGAACCAGTTAACAACACATTACTAAACGACAGTGTAAAACTCTTCAACCAGATGGCGGGAACTAACCTGGAAGTAAAATGAGGCAATCCACGTGATGCCCATATAAGGAGCATTTGATTTTAACTATTTGATTTGTTGAGTTCCAGAACGTTGACTAATTAATTGATTTTCAATTATCTTATCAGTTACATGATTACATTTTGTGATAAGCCCGGCACGAGATATACCGATAATATCGGACATAATGGATGATAATGGTTAGTAACCATTGGTTACGTTACGCTGGAGTAACCTTACGGAAGTGAATTGCAGGATATAAATATCGAATCAGTGTGATGATGTAATCATGTAAAGCTAGATGGGTTAGACCTTGTGTACGTGTATTATCTGAACTAAGTTTGTCTCCTTGAGAGCCCCTTATAGTTAGCTGTTGTTTCGTTTAACCAATTTGTAACTTTTTGAGTTGTTCTTCCGTATTCTTAACTGATTAGACAGAACACACTCCACTTGATTGCATGAGTCGTACTGTTTAGACTTAGTTACCCTGACCTATATTTACGACATGGTGTAAATTCACGAAATATAGAACTATAGAAAAATGGGATTTTTCCAACTTGATTAATAAATTAATAATCAAATTGGTAAGATCACGCGAGGGTTTGGTCAGATTAAATTAAAGATTAAATTTCACGGGTACTGCAACTAATAAGTGAATAAGTAAAAGTCACGCATTGACCCGTAAGTGATAGTTGCCATTTGTCCTTTGTCTTGCATTGACACTGTGTGCAATGTGCATGCTTCTCAGTTTGAAAGTAAAATGTTTATTCACACGTAATAATCACTAAGTTATTTAACTAAGAACCACTAATGAAAGAGATCCTACCACCTTGGTTAAACGTACACGTGAGGCACGTCCATCCGCCTGGTAGTGGCTGACTGTTTTTACAAGATTACATATTATTGTATTTGTGTAAATTGAGCTTCTGCTTTAATTTATTTACTAGGTGTTGTTTCATTTATTGGTTCTTTTGCGATAGTCAAAACGCGACAACTAGCGCTGGATGGCGACAACTAGCGCTATCCAGCGCTAGTTGTCGCCATCCAGCGCTAGTTGTCGCTATCCAGCGCTGGATAACGCTGGCCAGCGCAAAATATATATGTTCGATAATTGTCGCTATCCAGCGCTAGTTGTCGCCATCCAGCGCTAGTTGTCGCCATCCAGCGCTAGTTGTCGCTATCCAGCGCTAGTTGTCGCTGGCTATGCGACACTGTCGCACGTGATAGTTTGCGATGGCCAGCGCAACTGGCCATCGCAGAAAACAGTTCGATAACTAGCGCTGGATAGCGACAACTAGCGCTGGATAGCGACAACTAGCGCTGGCCAGCGCTGGCCATCGATATCCAGCGCGAAATTTTTGCGCTATTACTCGTCAGCTAGCGCTGGCCAGCGCTAAGCCAGATGTATTTTCGGACGCTAATTCCGAATCAACCCCCATAGGCCCATGACATAGGGTTAAAATGCTCTCCTGACGAGATATTGGCGAAAAACTGTACATGTTGATGTATCGATCACGTGATATGACCGTATAAGGAAGTTAGTCTAATTTCTCGTTATTGTTAGGGTTTCAGCATATGTTTTTGTTAAGGATTGGGTTAGGGTTAGGGTTGGGATCAGATTAGAGGGTTAAGGTTTCGAAAAGTCGTTCAGAACCAGCTAGAGTCAGAGAATGGGTTAAAGGACCAGTTAACTGAAAAATTTGTAGTATCCAATTTGGCTAAGATTTAAACCAGCTGTGACAAACTGGTAAAGAATCGTATCGCCGAAAGAACCAACTCTCTAGCGTACGTGTAACGCGTGTTATTGCAATAATAAGCTGTGGCCGCGTGACGTCATAAAGTCCCTCAGTGCGCGCTTGCATAGCGTAATACAATGCACAAATGTTTATCATCGTCAATAAAACACGTGTAACTCACTCAAATTTTAGAGTTATGACTATTTCCCTAGTTCTACAAAATCCTTATAGTTGTGGCTATCACCCTAACTATATGAATAGCTGATTGGATGTACAGTGCTCACGTCAGGATTTTAAACAGTGACATAAGTTCTTGAACAGTGGCGGGTGAATGTACAGTTAGAAAGTTTCTGCTATTACAAGTTATGTCATATGTGATAATTTTGGATTGTTTTCATTGCTTCATTACAAACGAAGGGAGACTGTACCGATTATTTTTCCCCAGTACATGAAACTAATACACAAAATAATGTGCTATGTATTAAATATGATAGCTGATCAGAGTGTAACTCTGTAATATAATATTACAGTTGTTCGGAAGAATGCGAGCAGTCGAATGGTTCGCTGTCCTAAAAGACATAGTTCCGAGAGCAATTATATTTTTAGCATAGCGAAATTTCTTACTTTAATCCACACGTGCCAGACAGTACAGGAGACAAGAAGTCTGGCTATTTTACGGCCGTTCCCATGGGACCATTAGTAGAAGTAGCTCCTATCAGAACGGTGCCGTGGGAACCGAAAAATACCCGGTCTACTAAATACTGATTGGAGTGTACAGTGTGCGGAGTGTTTTGAATTTGACTTACCTAGTTATCGTCCTACTTGTATGATCATAAAATTAAATACCAAGTACTGCAAACGTGTTCAGTCAATCGACCCACTGAACAACTATAGAATTTCCAAGACCCTATTATTCTTTGGCCATATATATACGGCACGATCGATTCTTAGATGGCTAAACGACAAACGTTAATCTATACAATTCTTAAACTATGAGATAGCACTTTAATCTAAAGATACACTTTTTATATTACTCCTGATTTTTACATTTCAATTTTCACGTAAAACATTGTAGCCATAGGTTGATCATGGACACTGACAGCTTAATTTTAGATAATAATGATTTATGAGTTTCTCTAAAGTTAACTCTAAACTTGTGTAGTCCAGTCATTTATGGACATTTATGGAATTGAACCTGCAAATTTTCGTATACTCACGAAATTTTGCAAAGACCTTCCCAAAAGTATGAATAAACGATTTTCGGTTGGAGACATATTGACCACGCCGATATTGACCCAATAACGTAACCGACCCTTTGCTTCTGAAGGTCGTGGAGACTTCAAAATAGGCTTAAACGAAGCCGCATATGCAAGTTTATATAAGAGTTATTGAGCAACACATGGCCTAAAATCCTTACTTTTCGAGAAATTCGCCAAAAACCATTTTGGGCGTGGTGCTGAGCCCATTTTCGATAGGATCGTGATAGAGTCTTTAGACAGGGTGCAAAAGAACCGCAATTAGCATATTAATATATAACTTACGAAGAAACAGATGCCTTAAAGTGCTTAATTTTTCAGTTATTGGCGAAAAACTGATTTCCGGTTCCAGAAATCATGCAAAAATATGGGTATCTCGTAAATTGGGCTATGAAGGCCCTACAGATTTTTGAATGAGTGCAAATTGTGCAGAATGGACATGTTTATATACAACTTATGAAGCAACATGTACCCTAAAACACTTACTTTTCGAGTTATTTGGGGGAGAAACATTGTATTATGTCCATTTTTACCTGTAAAATACAGTCTCACGAGCTGCTCTGTGCGCGCAAGGGACTTTATGACGTCATCGCCAAAATAATACAAACGCTAATTACACGCGTTAGAGAGCAGTTAGAGATTTAGGAATTTCGACTCGTTGCTCAGTTTGCTATTTGTCACAATCTGTCAAAATATGAGGATAACTTTTTTTTCAGTTAACTGGTCCTTTAAAAAAGTTACGTGACAGTCGAGTGTAAAGTGATTAATCATCATCCGACTAATATCGCAAGTATATGATTTTGATACATTGCGCTGGCTACCGCTGGCTAACGCTGGCTAGCGCTGGCTAGCGCTGGCTAGCGCTGGATAGCGACAGCTAGCGCTGGCTAGCGACAACTAGCGCTGGCTAGCGCTGGCCAGCGCTGGCCAGCGCTAGCTGACGAGTAATAGCGCAAAAATTTTGCGCTGGATATCGATGGCCAGCGCTGGCCAGCGCTAGTTGTCGCTATCCAGCGCTAGTTGTCGCTATCCAGCGCTAGTTATCGAACTGTTTTCTGCGATGGCCAGTTGCGCTGTTGTCGCCATCCAGCTAGTTGTCGCCAGCTAGTTGTCGCCATCCAGCGCTAGTTGTCGCGTTTTGACTATCGCAAAAGAACCCATTTATTTGTATCCATATCGTATCATAAAAAGTAAAATCCACCGTTTGCAAGTCACGGTTTACAAACTGCGAAACTGTACTAGGCTTGATTATTTTGATGTGCTGCATATTTAATCTATTAATAGAGTTTCAGAGTGATATAATGGCGAAATTTCTATTTATTTGGAATTAATACAAACTGGATTTGTCTTTGAAGTTTGAATCACCGAGTACTCTTAACATTACATTTTATAAGATCGGTGCAATGGAATGGCGGTAGTAAACGAGGGAATATTTACGGAGAAAGAAATTGAAGCTCCAGAAAGATCAATTCATAATACACTAAACAACAATGGAATAGACAACAACATGATCGGGTCAGATGATGCCACAGTTGTGTTAGCTAAAACTCCAGGAAGAAGTGAAGTTCCTTGTGAAGTTCCTTGTGAAGTTCCTTGTGAAGTTCCTTGTGAAGTTTCCAACGAGATTATTAATGCAAAAGCTGCTCCCGAGGACGGGAAAGGAGAATCTGCTGTTCTGAACGGTGAATCAGATACGAGTGAGTTTATTACAGAAACAGATATAAAGGCACTCGTGGTAAAAGCTGAACCGAGTGTAGAAGTAGCCGAATCAAGTTCATCAGTTGCTGAATCACCTGAAGCAGTTACTGAATCACCTGAAGCAGTAGCTGAATCATCTGAGGCAGTTACTGAATCACCTGAAGCAGTAGCTGAATCACCTGAAGCAGTAGCTGAATCACCTGAGGCAGTAGCTGAATCACCTAAAGCAGTAGCTGAATCACCTGAGGCAGTAGCTGAATCACCTGAAGCAGTTACTGAATCACCTGAAGCAGTTACTGAATCACCTGAAGCAGTTACTGAATCACCTGAGGCAGTAGCTGAATCACCTGAAGCAGTAGCTGAATCACCTGAAGCAGTTACTGAATCACCTGAAGCAGTTGCTGAATCACGTGAAGCAGTAGCTGAATCACCTGAGGCAGTAGCTGAATCACCTGAAGCAGTTACTGAATCACCTGAAGCAGTAGCTGAATCACCTGAAGCAGTTATCGAATCACCTGAAGCAGTATCTGAATCACCTGAGGCAGTAGCTGAATCACCTGAAGCAGTTACTGAATCACGTGAAGCAGTAGCTGAATCGCGTGAAGCAGTAGCTGAATCACCTGAAGCAGTAGCTGAATCACCTGAAGCAGTAGCTGAATCACCTGAGGCAGTTACTGAATCACCTGGAGCAGTAGCTGAATCACCTGTAGCAGTTACTGAATCACCTGAGGCAGTTACTGAATCACCTGGAGCAGTAGCTGAATCACCTGTAGCAGTTACTGAATCACTTGAGGCAGTAGCTGAATTATCTGAAGCAGTTACTGAATCACCTGAAGCAGTAGCTGAATCACTTGAGGCAGTAGCTGAAACACCTGAAGCAGTTACTGAATCACCTGAAGCAGTTACTGAATCACCTGAAGCAGTAGCTGAATCACCTGAGGCAGTAGCTGAATCACCTGAGGCAGTAGCTGAATCATCTGAAGCAGTAGCTGAATTATCTGAAGATAGCATTTGCCTTCCAGATAACACTAATCTAGCACCCGAGATCGTTTCAGATCAGCAAAAACCCGCTATCAGCCAAGTCCAGAATCTAAACGAGAATTTACTCATCAAAAATGATCTTCTCGGCTCGTTGAATCTGATAGATGCTGCTCCCGCTCCCCTCCTGCCTGGTACAGACTGGGACCAGGGGAGCAGTGTGGATCTCGGAGAGAGTGATGGAGAAAGTGAAAGTGAAAGTGAACTTAATGACGAAGTGAAATGTTGTCCTCATGCCCACCAGTTTGTTAACGATCTGTGAGTTTTTAATTTAAATTGGTGCCAATAGTTAGGGTAGTTACTTTTTATATATCGTCGAAGCTTTGTTAATCGATAAAAATAAGTTTTTACCATACATTTAAAAGTAATTTAATGAGAGATTGTGGATTTAAATGCGATAAAAATGTATACTTCACTATATCATTATATTATTATTGTACATGATGTACTTTTTGACTAAAATGTGTACAGAATAACATTTAGCAGCTCTGAAGAAGCTAGCTCAGCAGGAGAAGCACAGGACATCAAAGAGCTGAGGAAAGAACGGAGACAGAAAAAAAGTAGGAAACGAAAACAAAGACTCAAAAAGTATGCAATTTTGCTTAAGTTGGCCTATTTTAAATTAACGATTTAAATAATTTTGAGTTGAGTATCATTATGTGTTCCAAATGTTCAATATTTATGTTATAATTTCACTGGGTAGTTATGTAATCACGTGATCATTATTCACCAGATTTAATCTCTACCATTTCAGATGTTGTTCAGGTTGTGATGGTCAGGAGAGTGTTGAACCTCTGACATCTGAGTTACCCTCACCTATTGGTCTTAGTACCGGTAAGTTACCCTCACCTATTGGTCTCAGTACTGGTAACTATTTAGATTTTAGATATCAGTAGATAAACTTGGTTACCACGGGTGACCGAGTTGAGCCATAAGTTTTGTAACAGCAGTTAAAGTTGCAGCGGCAACCAATCAAAGCAATATATCACATCACGTGTCAAAACAATCAAGGCTCTACTCTGCTGTAGTAACCAGATTAAATTTCGTTATTAACCAAACAATTATGTTCAGTTCGCATTGGTTCAGTTTATATTTAATAGACCTTTTTCCACCACCATATGTTTCAAATTTGTACGGAAAATCTTGATAAACCCTCAGGAATGCTGCAATGTAACGTCATCAAATCATTTGAAGAGGTTGTTTCCACGCGTTATAACTCCGAGGAGGAGATAGATGCAGCGATTAACTCGTACAGTACTGTTGGGGGACGGTTAGCCAATCAGAACGAGCAGACTTTCAGTGACGTGGATATAGCGGGATATAAGTCACGTGAGTTACACGTGATCTCTCTTTTTTATTGACTAACTGAGTGAAGTAACGTTATTTTGGCACTGTTGTTTTGGTTACATTAGTAGGTTTGCTGGCTAAGACAAGTCAAAGAATAGCTTAAAAAGCTGGCATGTGTAAGCTTGTTGCGGTGATGAAATAATAACAAATGTCATGCAACTAAATATTTGTTAAGAAGTTTGTGTAGCTGTCAGTTGTTTATTGTTAGGCAAGCATATCATCAAATGTAAGTAAGCTATCGTACAAGATATAATGTTCATGTACATCTAATGTATATATGCAGTATACTTACTTTGGTAGTTAACTTTTTTGGCAGTATTTATCAAGAAGTTGGTCCGTATTATTAAGTAATGTGCTTAATACTAAATATAAAACACCCTAGGAAGTGATTGCGGGAGTCCTGCATCAGATCCTGACCTCTTGGTTTGTGATTACTCAAACTCCGTGGGCAGAAAACTGGCTAATAGGTCAGTATTTTTCTTGATTTCATTTGTGGCAATTAACTGGTTGCCTGATGAGTGGAAGTTGGTCTGATTGCTAAAATAAGAATGTGTGTACAACTACACAAAAACCATCAACTCTGTGTGGAGTATTTTTGTATTACCAGCGATTATCCCATAGTGTTGCAACTTTATTCTTTGAGAGAAGCCCCACTCAATTAATTCATCTTGATATGACTGTCCCAAGTCACAACGCGCTATGTCAATATTCGCAGCCCGCAATACTTTAAAATCGACTAAAACATGAAAGTTCAGCAGTGCTATTACGCGCAAAATGGCGCGCGTCAACCAATCAAAACAAACTTATTTAAACGCGTTCATTCTGCAGGAATTTGAATAATCAAAATGACAACCTGGACGAATGTATTGGTGGTTTCCTTCTGGATACTCTGAATCAGAATTTGGATCCTACAAGTAGACTCTTTGCGATGGAGGTTGAAGAGTTGAATACCATGGTCAAAGGATTACACCTCAAATTACAAAGTCAGTCACAACTCAATTGTGATAGCCTTGAAGTTTAAATTTTGTCCTGGGAAATTGATTGTAATTAGCAGAATTAATCTCTCCATCAAGTTACTTTTTGTCATTTATATAGCATTAATCTCAAACAAATGTAGTTGGGTTAACGAGGTGTATTTCAGATGTTAGCGAGGATTTAGTCAACGTGGTTACAGAAAATGACGACCTAAAAGCTCAGAAATCTGTCATAACGAAACACGTGACTCAATTATCTCGGTATGTTTTGCTAACTGAATAATTATAAAAAAACAGTTTATGTTCCAATACTTTGTAGTTTAGTTGAAAAGATATCAGATTCTGAAGCGGATCTTGAGGGTATTCCACTACTAATAAAGATGATTCTGCCGTATAATTTCGTTATTTCTGCAGGCTAGCCCAGGGTTTCAGAGCAAACGACAATTCAGCCTTCCGGAAGATCTTAGTCACCAGAGAAACTGACATCTAGGGACTTATTGATGTCAAAAATCATAACTTTTTATTGTTTTATTTCGCTAGTATATTATTCGCAGTGAGGGAGCGTTCAGATATTACGTCAGCAGGTTTTTGGCCATTTTTACCCCCCCCCCCCCCAGAATTCAGGTATTCGGCAAGGCCCAGACCACCCTTCCCCATCGTTGGCAACCGCCAGCATTTCCAAACCCCCTCCCTCTCGGCTTCTGATGTGATAGGTGAACGCTCCCTAAAATATTAAATTATACCAATTCAGCAGTAAAACTGTATGTGTAAGATATTCTGTATTTTTTTTCATGTTTTTAAGGAGAAAGATTTATCGTAAATTTATATCAAAATTCAAACTATTCAAATATTTTAGTTGTTTTATATCTGTTATATACCGGTTTATTGTTATATTTTATTTCATCGCTTTCTAAACTATCAAGTTTCTACCAATTACGCATTTTAATATCAGCTGACCATTCTTACTCTTGAAAAATCTTATACTTGCTTTGGATAAAATCAATCCCAAATCAAACAAGCAAACATTGAATTACGATGGACTAGAAATTGATAGGGCTACTACGTCTGTTCAAATTTGTATCATTGAAAGAATTGTGATTTGATAATACCCAATTTTTCAAAATTGTCACTGTTCGTGATGCCACCGTTAAACAGAGCATCTTAACTGCAACTAATTATCAAATTATTAACAGATAATTAACTCCCAAGTAGAAGATGATAAAAGTACGTAACGAACTCGGTGAATCCCCCTGCTACCTCTGTGATTTTGCGTGCAGCACAAAACAGAAACTAGCTTACCACACCTTTACAGTTCACAACACACCTCAGAGTTTGATTTGCAGCTACTGTCAGTTCAAGTTCAAAGATGTCTCATCTGTTAGGTTAATTGGTTAATTAATAAAATTATCTAACTTATGCACTTATTAAACCATTTGGGCTCAAAATTTTGCTTGAATCTATTTATGGTTGGGGATGGTTGTTGGAATTGAACATCGGTGGGGCAGCTTACACTTTACAGCTATGTGAATTTGTCCATTCATCGAGACGTAGACCAGAAAATTTATGTAAACTTTTTTACCAGTAGTCCTTTCCATTTTTCCATATCATCTTTGGTATTATGAAATCTATCGTTAATGTAAGTATGCACCTCAAACAACTACATGGTATCTGGCCAATAGTTTATAAATAATTTGACGGTCTTGTTTTCAGGAGGCATATCCGCACAGTTCACATCAACGCTAAAGATTACATGTGTACTTACTGCAACAAGAAATACAAACACAAATATGATCTGGAGAAACACTTTTCCAAGGTATGATACAAATTCAAATTTATAAATTGACAATTTTGATATTTTATTGTTTGTGTCCCTGAATAATATATCAGTATTTAGTTCTAATTATGTGACACTATCTCTTACCAAATTTACATAGATAAAACAAAACACAGTATAACTGTGTTAGCCAACATTAAAACAATTTGTTGTTTCAGATTCACAAGACAAGACCAATGGAGGGGCAAAACTTCTGCTCTGAGTGTAAACTACTCTGCTTTGGGTGGGAACAGCTCAAGAAACATTACCTGGACGCTCATGGTAGGATTTTGGTGAAATGTTTGACTTTGTACATCTCCAATCTCCATGATGATTTCAACATATCCATTATCCATAGTCATTAGTCATCGTTACGATTCAATGGCATATTTTTACTTTACTTCTTAGAAAATTGTATCGTCATAAAAGTAAGGACAATAAAAACCCACCCACGTTTTGGGTCCATAGCTGTTTAGTCTAATTAGTCTAATTAACTAACTAGACGAACTATCATTAATAACACAATCTCAGGTAAAACAATACAACATATAAAGTGTCCCCAATGTTATAAGATCTTCTTTGATGTGATGTATTTGAAGCAGCATTTCAAACGGGTCCATAACAACAAGACTATGAGTGTTGTCTACTGCCAGGTAAGTGATAAGTTAATTAATTAATTAAGTGATAAGTAAATTAATTAATTAAATGATCAGTTAATTAATGACTAATTAAGTAATACGTTAATTAATTAATTACCCTAATTAAGTGATAAGTTAATTAATTAACTGACTGCGTCAAATAAACAATTACTTGTTTATTTTAACAATTTATAAATGTAATGAGGTCTGATCATCATCTTCTTACCTTAGTATTGCTGTTCTACTAAATTTATAAATGTATTCGCCGCGGCACTCAGCACTGGCATGTCAGTAAATTCACTTGTGAGTTCAGTAGCTCTCACAATACGTTATATTATGTGCCTCGACGGGCTAAAGTAGTGGATGACCTTGCTGTACGGCAAGTTAAACAAGGATCTGAAACTACTAGGTTCCGTACAGACTCAACTCTGCACCCGTGTCAATATGTTCATTATATGCAAGCCTCTTGATTTATATCAAGATAAAGTTGTACCTTGCGATAATATCGACATTTTCAACTTGCTTGTGAAATGTTAAATACTTGTCCAGCACTGTGGAGCAGTGTTTGAAGAAGACACAGCGCTAGTCCGGCACATGGAAGAAAAACACTTCTGGAACGGAGAAAGTGCCGTGTTCTGCCGGGAGGACCAGTGTGACGAACTGTTTGAGGACATGTCCGAGCTGGAGACTCATATTCAGGTATACAATAGTTTGAGGACATGTCCGAGCTGGAGACTCATATTCAGGTATACAATTACAATAGTTTGAGGACATGTCCGAGCTGGAGACACATATAGTGATAGTTTGCGATGGCCAGCGCAACTGGCCATCGCAGAAAACAGTTCGATAACTAGCGCTGGATAGCGACAACTAGCGCTGGATAGCGACAACTAGCGCTGGCCAGCGCTGGCCATCGATATCTAGCGCAAAATTTTTGCGCTATTACTCGTCAGCTAGCGCTGGCCAGCGCTGGCCAGCGCTAGCCAGCGCTAGCCAGCGCTAACCAGCGCTAGCTGACGAATAATATATCGCAACTATATTGCGCTGGCCAGCGCTGGCTGACGAGTAATACTAATATTGTCATCGAGCGTGCTAAATCACTCTACAGTCGATCTTCGAGATTGTTCTAAAAGGGCCCCGATGGTTGTAACCAACTTCAATCGATGCAATGTATTTTCGGACGCTAATTCCGAATCAACCCCCATGACATAGGGTTAAAATGCTCTCCTGACGAGATATTGGCGAAAAACTGTATCGATCACGTGATATGACCGTATAAGGAAGTTAGTCTAATTTCTCGTTAGGGGTTAGGGTTTCAGCATATGTTTTTGTTAAGGATTGGGTTAGGGTTAGGGTTGGGATCAGATTAGAGGGTTAGGGTTTCAAAAAGTCGTTCAGAACCTTAGATGGCAAGTACGTACGGTACAGGGCTTTAAGGGGGCATACCCCAAAACAGTGGTTTGTGCCGTCCAGACCAAATGACCTCATAGGCAGTTCAGTGACCTTCTAGCGCACCGTTTCCACACAAAAAAAAAATTATTTTGAGAATTCCCATTTTTGTAATCGACCATTTCCTGGTTAAGAGTGCAATTTTCGGAAAAAATTATTTTGTGGTTGAGACGCTATAAGTTAATCATTTCTTGCGGTATCGGGTTGAAATTTTGCTCGCCGTTTATTCACATCTATGTCAAGGTGTGTGTAAAATCTTGATATCGTATCTAAAAAGGCTGGTGTGTTATGAATTTTTAAAGTCAAAAAGCTAAAATTGTCCTTTTCAGGCTTATTTTAACAATAAGTCAGTCAGGGAAGATCGGATTATTTGATACTTGACATCAAATTGTTCTCTGAATTCTGGCGCAGTTTTTGATGCCCTCAAAAATGTTTTTACTCATTCACCTTCTGATCTATTGGACCGCAAAGCCAAACAACAAATTTAGGCACATTTTTCGTTTTTAATATTTACTGATTTTTCTAAAATTTTGATAGGAATATGCTAGTGACTTTTTGAAGGGTGCAAAATAACCGCAACTAGCACATTTATATATGAACAACAAAAACACCCTAAAATGCTTCCCTTTGAAGTTATGGGAGAAAATGTGATTTTTTATCTGCAAAGCCAAAAAATCACATTTTCTCCCATAACTTCAAAGGGAAGCATTTTAGGGTGTTTTGTTGTTCGGGGGGGGGGGGGGGGGGGGGGGGGGGGGACAATGGCATAAAATGGCATAAAATGGCATAAAATGGAGACTTTTTCTATGGAGAAAATGGAAAAACCCATGAGTAATTCTCCATTTTCTCCATTTTATGCCATGAATTTTGTCTTCGAAATTTTATCTTTAACACCATTTAACACCTAAATTGGACATCCTAACATGTTTATTTACGCTTACTAGGGGCGTAACAAGCTTATGAAAGCTCATAGTAGGCTACTAGATGCTTATACTAGGTTAGTAGAGGCACACTTCAGGCAAACTCATAAATACTCAAGCCTAGTGTTAAGTTATTTCTACAGGCTACAGCAGGAGAGAGTAATAGGGGAGAGTAATAGGCACTGAGCATCGAGACCTACATCCTCGACAGTCGAAACAAGCTCGCACTGCAGACTTCGATAAACCGAAAAAACCAAAAAAAAATTTTCGGCTAATAATGAAGAGGGTAGCATGAAACGTGGAGAAAAGTGGTTTTTAGAAAAACTTTGGAAAATTTTGACTTAGAAAATTTTCGGCCCGAGTCATTTTTCGAGAAAATTATTTAATTTTTTCAAATTTTTTCTGAAAACCGCTTTTCTCCACGTTTCATGCTACTCTGTTCATTATTTGACGAAAATATTTTGTTCGGTTTTTCGAAGTCCACACCTTCCCCTGGATACACAATTTTGGACTCGAAGTAATGCGATCTCGGAAGGCAGGCCTCCCCTTTGCAACACGAGCTCGGAATCGGGAGCTCTCGATACGAGAGGTACGTATCGTAAATGACTCGGACCGAACATTTTCTAAGTCAACATTTTTCAAAGTTTTTCTGAAAACCACTTTTCTCCATGTTTCATGCTACCCTGTTCATTATTTGCCGAAAATATTTTTTCGGTTTTTCGAAGTCCACACCTTCCCCTCGATACACAATTTTGGGCTCGAGGTAATGCGATCTCGGAAGGCAGGCCTCCCCTTTGCAACACGAGTTCGGAATCGGGAGCTCTTGATACGGGAGGTACGTATCGTAAATGACTCGGACCGAACATTTTCTAAGTCAACATTTTTCAAAGTTTTTCAGAAAACCACTTTTCTCCATGTTTCATGATACTCTGTTCATTATTGGCCGAAAATATCTTTTTTTAAAATAATTTTTCTCGAAATTCTAAATTTTTCAGGTTTTCAATGGCATAAAATGGCATAAAATGGCATAAAATGGCATAAAATGGAGACTTTTTCTATGGAGAAAATGGAAAAACCTATGAGTAATTCTCCATTTTCTCCATTTATGCCATTGGCCCCCCCCCCTGTTGTTCATAACTCATATATAAATGTGCTAGTTGCGGTTATTTTGCACCCTTCAAAAAGTCACTAGCACATTCCTATCAAAATTTTAGAAAAATCAGTAAATATTAAAAACGAAAAATGTGCCTAAATCTGTTGTTTGGCTTTGAGGTCCAATAGATCAGAAGGTGAATGAGTAAAAACATTTTTGAGGGCATCAAAAACTGCGCCAGAATTCAGAGAACAATTTGATGTCAAGTATCAAATAATCCGATCTTCCCTGACTGACTTATTGTTAAAATAAGCCTGAAAAGGACAATTTTAGCTTTTTGACTTTAAAAATTCATAACACACCAGCCTTTTTAGATACGATATCAAGATTTTACACACACCTTGACATAGATGTGAATAAACGGCGAGCAAAATTTCAACCCGATACCGCAAGAAATGATTAACTTATAGAGTCTCAACCACAAAATAATTTTTTCCGAAAATTGCACTCTTAACCAGGAAATGGTCGATTACAAAAATGGGAATTCTCAAAATAATTTTTTTTGTGTGGAAACGGTTGATAGAAGGTCACTGAACTGCCTATGAGGTCATTAGGTCTGGACAGATTTGGGGTATGCCCCCTTAAGTACGTACGGTACAGCTACTTTTAAAGGTACGTACCGTACAGGCACTGTAAGGTACAATTTTTTTTCAAATTTTTAGAATCAACTTCAGTGAATTACTTGCAATTTCTGATTAGTATTATCATCATAATTTTTGAGATAGAAGTCGAAAATTAACACAGTGGTTAAAACAATAAAAGATTTAAGAGGAAAATTTGTGTACCGGATCGCTCTTAACCGGTACTACACTACTACTACTTGTAATTATCGTTAAACTCAAAGCTTCATCCTTTTGTTGCAGTATACGAACACCAGCTTTTCAGCTAGCTCAGGTCGCAACCTTAATCTACGCTTGTCCATAATATACTCTTAATCTCTAAAATTGGTCTCACAAATTGACGAAAACACTGAATACTATTTGGGCCAACTGTTTAAGCAGAAAAAGTTCTCCTCCAAAATATTTCCAGTATATTGACGGATTAATAAGCTTCATAGGTTCTGATTCCGCATCAGTGTAGGGTTTTACCCCTTCTCTGTCGCACGTACCGTCTAGTTTTTGTTTCCATTGCTATCAACCGGATTCAACCTTTCAGCCTACTTTATTAAGTATGTACCGTACAGCTAATTTAAAGGTACGTACCGTACGAACTTACCATCTTAGTTCAGAACCAGCTAGAGTCAGAGAATGGGTTAAAAAAGTCAGTCGAGTGTAAAGTGATTAATCATCATCCGAGTAATATCGCAAGTATATGATTTTGATACATTGCGCTGGCTAGCGCTGGCTAGCGCTGGCTAGCGCTGGCTAGCGCTGGCTAGCGCTGGCTAGCGCTGGCTAACGCTGGCTAGCGCTGGTTAGCGCTGGCTAGCGCTGGTTAGCGCTGGCCAGCGCTGGCAAAAATTTTGCGCTAGATATCGATGGCCAGCGCTAGTTGTCGCTATCCAGCGCTAGTTGTCGCTATCCAGCGCTAGTTATCGAACTGTTTTCTGCGATGGCCAGTTGCGCTGGCCATCGCAAACTATCGCGTGCGACAGTGTCGCATAGCCAGCGACAACTAGCGCTGGATAGCGACAACTAGCGCTGGATGGCGACAACTAGCGCTGGATGGCGACAACTAGCGCTGGATAGCGACAATTATCGAACATATATATTTTGCGCTGGCCAGCGTTATCCAGCGCTGGATAGCGACAACTAGCGCTGGATGGCGACAACTAGCGCTGGATAGCGCTAGTTGTCGCCATCCAGCGCTAGTTGTCGCGTTTTGACTATCGCAAAAGAACCGGATAATGAGCTAAATTTATTTCAGGCGGTTCACAAGGGCAATAAAAGAGTCCGAGTATCCCCTACCTCATATTGTAGTGGTACCGAGTCAGATTGTCCAGTTTGTTCAGATACTCAGCCTTCCAAATTACAGGTATTGGTTAATAAACTAGACTCGGATTAATAAATTTAGTAAGAAAGATACAAACAAATACACATGCTCATACCCAAGTCCCAAATAATTAGCAATAAATGTTTTCATACCTTAACGCTTAAGGTCGCAGTCAAACCATCTCCTAAAAATTATGACTTAATTAAGTATTAATACGAGCGTTAGTGTACCTATCTTCTGTTACTAGGTTATCATATATAATTATTTGTTAGCTTATTATTATGTTTAGCGTGCATGTGTGTACGCTAAAACGTATACACCAGTACTTTCTTAGCTTTAAAAGGTCAGGCCTTTTTAAATGGCTTCTTTTTAATACTAAGATACTACATAATTCTATAATTGAGTCTAATTACCCCTGTTTTCAGTTAGTAGCACATTTGACGGAGAGTCACCATTGGAGATCAGTTATGGAATGTCAAAAATGTTACAAACTATTCCCCACGTGCGCAGAAGTTCAGGTTAGAAATGCTACAAACGATTATTTATAATGGTTAAAAATCGAACGAATATCAAATCTAATCAATTAGTTAATTGATGACCCAATAACCTCAGGAGCATTTAAACTCACACTGTTTGGAACCTGAAGATGCGCCTCTCTTACCGAGCGGGAAACATTCCATCCTGAAGAAGAGATTGCTGAAGAGGAAGAATATTAAAGACCTGTCACGTGACTTGGAACCTAGATTCTTTGTGGGCTTCGTCCGGCTGGACGATCAGAAGGTACGTTGTTTAACTCATTTAATAACTTATAACTTATTTTTAACTTATTTAATAACTTATAACTTATTTAAGAGGAAATGTGGTTTCTAGAAACCTGAAGATTAGTCTGAATATCAATCATCCCTTTCAAACAAATGTTGATTACATTTCATTAACATTTATCCTTATTATTAACGACTCCCAACCATAAACATTTTTCATCGAGGCAGTTAACAATTCGCCTCTCATCACAATAAAAATGGGAGAATCTGGTACCAATATTATCCAACGATCACATTTCTCAGGAGCCCGCGTTGCAAGAAGAGGTCGAAGTGGAAACGAACAATGGAGAAGGGAGCAGTATTCATGATTGGGGGCCCCTTTTTTAAAAAAAAAATTTTTGGGGTTTTTTTGGGGGGGTTTTTTCCTTTAAAAAAAAACCCCCAATTTTTAAAATTTTTAAAAAAATTTTTTTAAAATTTTTTTTTTTTAAAAGGAAAATTTTTTTTTCCCCTTTTTTTTAAAAATTTTTTGGGGAAAAAAAAGGGAAAAAAATTTAAAAAAATTTTTTTTTTCCCGGTTTCAAAAAAATTTTCCAAAACTTTTTTTTTTTTTAAAAATAAAAAAAAAATTTTTTTTGGGTTTTTTTTAAAAACCCGGGAAAAAAACCCCCCTTTTGGGGGCCCCCAACCCCCCCTTTTCCCGGGGTTTTTTTAAAAAAATTTCCGAAAAAAAAAAATTTTCCTGGGAAATTAAAAATTTTTTTTTTTTAAAAAAAATTTCCCCAAAAAAAAATTTTCCCCTTTTTTTTTTTTAAAAATTTATCCCTTTTAAAAAAAAATTTTTTTTAAAAAAAAAAAAATTTTTAAAAAAAAATTTTTAAAAAAAAAAAAATTTTTTTTTTCCCCCCCCCCAAAAAAAAAAAAAAAACCCCCCGGGAAAAATTTTCCCCCCAAAAAAAACCCGGGGGAAAACCCCCAAAAATTTTTCCCCCCAAAAGGGGGGGAAGGCCCTTGGGGGGGGGGTTTTGGGGTTTTTGGGGGGGAAAAAAAAAAAGGGGTTCCCGGGGGGGGGGAAAAAAAAAAGGGGGGGTTTTTTTTTTTTTAAAAAAATTTTTGGGGGGGAAAAAAAAAAAACCCCGGGGACGGTTTTTTTGGTTTTTTCCCAAAAGGGGGGGGGTTTTTTTTTGGGGGGGGTTTTTAAGGTTTTTTAAAAAGGGGGGGTTTTTTTTTGGGGGGGTTTTTTTCTTTTTTTTTTTTTTCCCCCCCTTTGGTTTTTTTTTTTTTTTTTTTTTCCCCAAAAAATTTTTTTTTTTTTTGGGAAAATTTTGGTTCTTTTTTAAAAAAAATTTTTTTTTTAGGTTGTTTTTTCGGTTAATTTTTTTTAAAATTTTTTGGGTTTTTTTGGGAAATTTTTTTTTTTAAAAAAAAAAAAAAAAATTTAAAAAGGGGGCCCTTTTTTGGAAAAAAAAATTTTTGGGGGGGGGTTTTAAAGGAAATTTTTAATTTTTTTTTTGGGGTTTTTTTTTTTGGGTTTTTTTTTTGGGGGGGGAATTTAATTCCTTTTGGGGTTTTTTTTTTTGGGGGGTTTTTTTTTTTTTTAAGGTTTTTTTTTTTTTGGGGGAAAATTTTTTTTTTAAAATTTTTCGGTTTGGGGTTTTTTTTTTTAAAAAAAAATTTTTTTTTTTTTTAAAATTTTTTTTTTTGGAATTTTTTTAAGGGGTTTTTTTTTTTTTTTAAAAGGGTTTTTTTTTCCCTTTTTGGGTTATTTTTGGGTTTTTTTTTTGGGGTTTGGGGTGGGGTTTTTTAACCCCCTTTTTTTTTGGGGGTTTGGGGGTTTGGTAGGGGGGGAAGGTTTTAAAATTTTTAAAAAAATTTTTTTTTTGGGGGGGGAAAATTTTAAAAGGGCCCCTTTTTTTGGGGGTTGGGGGGGGTTTTTTCCCGGGTAAAAACCAAAAAAATTTTTTTCCTTTAAATTTTTTGGGCTTTTTTTTGGGGGGAAAAAAAAAAAGGGGGGTTTTTCCCCCCCCTTTTTTTTTAAATTTTTAAAAAAATTTTTTTTTTAATTTTGGGTTTTTTTTTTAAAAAAATTTTTTTTGGTTTTTGGGTTTTTTTAAAGGTATTTTTGGGTTTTTTTTTTTTTTTAGGCTTTTTTTTTTTGGGGGTTTTTTTTTGGCTTTTTTTCCTTTTTCCCTTTTTTTTAAAAATTTTTGGTTTTTTTTACTTTTTAAAACCAAAAAGGTTTTTTTTTTTGGGGGTTTTTTAAGGTTTTTTTTTTTTTTTGGCCAAATTAAAATTTTAAAAAAATTTGGTTTTTTTTTTTTTTTTTTAAAAATTTTGGGCCGGGGGAAAAGGGTTTTTTAAAAAATTTTTTTTTTTAAAAAAAAAAAGGGGTTTTCGGAAAAAATTTTTTTTAAAAAAATTTTTTTTAAAAAATTTTTGGGGGGTTTTTGGTTTTTTTTTTTTTTTTAAAAAAAAAATTTTTAAAAATTTTATTTTTTTTTGGGGAAAGGGGAATTCCCCGGGTTTTTGGGGGGGGGGTTTTTTTTTTGGGGGGGTTTTTTAAAGGTTTTTTAAATTTTCCCTTTAAAAAGGGTTTGGGAAAAAAAGGGGGAAAAAAAAAAACAAAGGTTTTTGGGGGGGGGTTTTTTTTTGGTTTAAATTTTTTTTTTTAAAAAAATTTTTTTTTTTTTTCCCCCCTTTTTTTTTTGGGGGGTTTTTTTTGGGTTTTTTAAAAAAGTTTTTTTTGGCCAAAGGTACTTAATTTTTTTTAAAAACCAAATTTTTTTAAAAATTTTTAAAAATTTTTTTTTTTTTTTAAAAATTGGGGGGGGTTTTTTTTTGGGGGGTTTTTTTTTAAAATTTTTTAAATTTTTTTGGGGTCCAAAAAAAAAAAATTTTTTAAAAAAAAAAATTTTTTGGGAATTAAATTTTTTTTAAAAAAAAATTTTTTTTTTTTTTAAAAAAAAAACCCTTTTATTGGGGAAAAAATTGTTTTTTTTTTTTAAAAAAATTTTTGGGGGGGGAAAAAAAGGGTTTTGAAAACCTTTTTTTTTTTTTAAAAAAAGGAAAAAAAAAACCCCCCAAAAAAACCTTTTCCAAACTCTGGGGTTTTTAAATTTTTTTTTAAAAAAATTAAAAATTTTTTTTTTTAAAAAAAAAAAAATTTTTAAAAAATTTTTTTTTTTCCCCTTTTTTTGGGAAAAAAGGGGGCAAAAAAAATTTTTTTTTTAAAAAAAAACCAATTTTTTTGGGGGGGGGAAAATTTTTTTTAAAAAAATTTTAAAAAATTTTTTCCAAAATTTTTTTAAAATTTAAAAAGGTTTAAAAAATTTTTTTTTTAAAAAAAAAAAACCCCTTAAAAAAAATTTTTTTTTTTTAAAAATTTTTTGGGTTTAAAATTTTTTCCGGTTGATTGGACCCCCCGGGGGTTTTTTTTTTAAAAAAAGGGGGAAAAAATTAAAAAAAAGGGTTTTTTTCCCCGGTGTTTTTTTTAAAAAAAAAAAAAAATAAGGGAAAAAAAATTTTTTAAAAAAAAAATTTTTTAAAAAAAAATTTTTTTTTGGGGGGGGGAAAAAAAGGGGGGAAAAAGGGGGGTTTGGGTTAAAATTTTTTAAAAAATTTTTTGGGGAAAAAAACCAGGTTTCCTTAAAAAAAATTTTTTTTGGGGGGGAAAAAAGAAAAAAAAAAAAAAAAATTTTTTTTTCCCCCCAAAAAAAAAAACCAATTTTTTAAAAAAAGGGGGGGGTTCCCCCTTTTTTTTGGGGGGTTTTTTGGGGGTTTTTTTTTTTTCCCCGGGCCCAAAAAAAAAAAAAAAATTTTTTTAAAAACCCTTAAAGGGTAAAAAAATTTTTTTAAAAAAAAAAAAAAAATTTTTTTTCCCCGGGGGTTTTTTTTTTTTTTTAAAACCCCCGGGGGTTGGGGGGAAAATTTTTTTAAAAAAAATTTTTTAAAAAAAAAGGGAAAAAAAACCCCCCGGGGGGGGGGGGTTTTTTTTTCCCCCCAAAAAAGGGGGACCCGGAAAAAAAAACCGGTTTAAAAAAATTTTTTAGGGTTTTCCCGGGGGGAAAAAAAAATTTTTTGGGGGGTTTTTCCCCTTTTTAAAAATTTTTTTTTAACCTCTTTTTGGAAAAAAAAATTTTTTTAAAAAATTTTTGGTTTTTTTTGGGGGGGGTTTTTTTTTTTTTGGGGTTTTTTCCCCTTAAAAAAACCCTTTCTTTATTTGGGGGGCCCCCCTTTTCCCAAAAAAAATTTTTTGGGGGAAACCCCCCCAAATTTTTTTTCCCTTTTAAAACCCCAAGGGGGTTTTAAAAAAATTTTTTTTCCCCTTTCCCCAAAAAAAAAATTTTTTTTTGGGGGGAATTTTTTTTTTTTAAAAAATTTTTTAAAACCCGGTTAAAATTTCCCCGGGATCCCCCAAAACCCTTGAAAAGGGGGGGAAAATTTTTTTCGGTTTTTTAAAAAAAGGTTTTTTTTTTTTTAAAATTTTTTTTTTTTTTTTTCCCCCCCCCCAAATTTTTTTTTGGGGGGAAAAAAATTTTGGGGTTCCCAAAAAAAAAATTTTTAAAAAACCCAAACCCCAAAAAAATTTTTTTTTTTCCCCCTTTTTTTTAAATTTCCCCCCCCCCCCAAAAAAACCCCCCCCCCTTTCCCCTTTTTTTAAAAAACCCCCCTTTTAACCCCCCCCCTTTTTAAAAAAAAATTTTTCCCTTCCCCCCCCCCCCCTTTTCCCCCCCCCCCCCCTTTTTTTTTTTTTTTTTAAAAAAAAAAATTTAAAAAACCCCCCTTTTTTTAAAAAAAACCCCCCCCCAACCCCCCCCTTTCCCCCCCCCCCTTTCCCCCTTCCCCTTTTTCCCCCCCCCCCTTTTTCCCCCCCCAAAAACCCTTTTTTTCCCCCCCCCCCAAAAAAACCCCCCCCCCCCCCCCTTTTTCCCCCCTTTAAAAAAAACCCCCCTTTTTCCCCCCCCCCCCCCCAAATTCCCCCCCCCTTTTTCCCCCCCCTTCCCCCTTTTTTTTTAATTCCCCCCAAATTAAAAACCCAAAAATTTTCCCCCCAACCCCCCCAAAAAAACCCCCCCTTTCCCCCCCCCAAAAACCCCCCCCCTTTTTTCCCCCCCCCCCCTTTTTTTAAAACCTAACCAAATTTTCCCCCCCCCCTTTTTTAAACCCCCTTTTTTCCAAAAATTTTTTTTTAAAAAAATAACCCCCCCCCCTTTTTAAAATTTTTTTTTTAAAAAAATTCCCCCAAATTTCCCCCCCGGGTTAAAAAAATTTTTTTAAAATTTAAAATTTTTTGGCCCCCCCCAAGGGAAAAATCCCAAATTAAAATTTAAAAAAAAAATTTTTTTTTTTTGGGGGTTT